TTTAATGAAGGAAATCTTCTAAATGTTGGAGCAGCTGCAGAAGTGTTGTATTGTCCAGTTCATATTAATGAACTTCACTGGGTTGGACTTTCTATAGACCTAAAAGGGGCTACTATTACCGTCCTTGATAGTAACTTCGCCTGTGTTTCCGAGGAAGAATTGGGGAATTATTTAGCTCCGATTGCCGAAATGTTACCATATCTACGATGTGGTGTCGGTGAAGACAATGATCATGGAACCACAGACAAGACTCCATTTGTGATTAACAGGCTTGACATTCCTTTTCTATGCGAGATCCCTGGTAAGTGTATATATTGGTATTGATTTTTGACTAATGTTGATGTCATAATTTATTACAAATATTTTTGGAATATTTTAATTTGATATGTTTTTGGGTTTTCATTTCAGGTTTGTCTGCTGTTGCTTCTTTTGTTCTTATGGAGCTACATGCTACAAACCAGTTGAAGTGTTGTTCTTCGCTTGGTGATGTGAGTCTCAAAACCGCTGCTCGATGTTATGCTGTTGATTGCTTATCCTTGGAATGAAGTTGATTCTAAAGAGAGTGTTTTGGTTCTTATTTTCCAAATCAAATATTTTTTTTGGTTGTTTTGGTTTGCTTCTTTCGGATGAGTTTTGAATTGAGTTGATTTGAATAATGGTTAAGTTTGTATCGAATAAGTTTCATAATAATGGATTTGTTCTATCTCTGGTAAATCTTCATAACGGATTAGAAAATGTATTTTCTGTTTTCAATATATTTAAATTGTATTTTGTTTGTTTTACATGGTTACTGATTGTTATCTGAGTGCTTATCTTTAGAGTTTCGAGTATAGGGTTTAGTGTTTAGTGTATTTTATGTTTGTGGTATGTTTGCTTTTTAGTGGTTGATGGGTTAGGGTTTAAGATAAGTGTTTATGTATCTATATTTAGGATTGAGGGTTACATGGTCATGGTTTAAGGTATATTATATTTATGTTTGGGTTGTCCTATACGAGTTTAGACTTTAATTGTCTTGAGATAATGTTTCGAGTTTAGGGTTTATTATGTTTGTGTTGGGGTTGTTATTATTGGTATAGGGTTTAGGGTTGCATATCTATAGTGAGAGTTTAGGGTTGGTAGTTTAGGGTATATAACATTATGTTTGGGTTGTTGTAAATGAATTTATATTTCAATATTCAAAGCAGGGTTTAGTGTTTAGGATGTGTTGGGTTTGTTTTCTATGGGTTGACTGGTTAGGGTTTAGGGTTTTAGATAAGTGTTTATGTATTTGTATTTAGGGTATTTGCTTAAATTGTTAGGGTTTAGGGTTTTAGACTTTAGGGTATAATATATTTATGTTTGGGTTGTTCTATATGACTATAGACTTCAATGGTCTTGAAGTGTAAATTAGAGTTTAGGGTTTGCATTATTTGTTTTGGGGTTGTTTTTATTAGTATAGGGTTTAGGGTTGTATATCTATGGTTTATTGTTTAGTGTTAAATGTAATGGTTTACGGTTTCGAATTGTAATTGTATGATTTATATAGAAAGCGTAATACATCCTTCTAATTTTTTTATTTTTATTTGGATTTTCAATTTTAATTGAATTTCGGTTAGACACATAGTAGACCCGGTTTTGTTTAAACCAGTACCACCTATTACATATTTCTATTGCTTTATGTCTTCAAAATTCACTTACTGGAAAAATTCTCAAAAAACAGAGACTTTCTCGACGGAACCCTAATTCACTATCACCATCAAATCAAGTGGACCAAAACGGTGGCTTCTGTTATATAGAGGTAAATTTGTGAAATACTTCGTTGCTTTTATTATTGTGTTCGTTATTGTTGATATTTGTTAATATGTTGTATGATTTTGAAGGTTTCCAAGAGATCATAATTATGAGTTCTATTTCTGGAAGTTCTAGTGGGGTTTCTGTGTCTCGGGAGGGAAGAAGAGTTGTAGGAATTCCGAGGAAATGCTGGTGCGAAGCTGAAATTTTTCAACTTATCTCCAAATCTTCTCAAAATCCCTTCAGACGCTATTATCGTTGTTCATTTGCTGTGGCGAAAAAGGTAAAAGGACAAAAAATTAGTTATGGTAATTGTGTTATTAATGTTTTCTAAAACTAATTTTAGAGTTTGAATTTGTTTCAGCTTATCAACGATAATCATTGTTTCTAATGGGTTGATGAGGCTTTTGCTGATGAGATAGAAGATCTTTCTACAAGTTTAAAACAAATTCCGGACAGACTTGATAAACGGGAAGACGTTTCCGATGATAGGGAGAATGGTTTAAAAGAGAAGGTTAAGGGTTTGGTTGATGAATATTTTGCAAGACGCATGGAGATTCTTCTACGCAGTGGGAGTTATAGTATCCGTAATCTCATCTTATATTTGGCTTTAGGTTGTATTATAGGTTTCTTATTCAGTAAGATTACTATGTAAGAGTTATCTTTCATAAATGTAATGGTTTCTTTTGTTTCATTTGTACTTAATGTACTCGCCTTTGTGACATAAGTTTCATTGTACCATATGTTATCAACGATTTGAGTCATAAGTTTTAATATAAACAGAGGATTCCATAATAGTTTAATTAAACATAAAAGGGTATTAATATCTTACAACAAAAGAACCAGCTGGATTAAGAGTAACAAACTGCGACAGACTAGCAAACCCATATATACATTGGGCAATATGGTTTATCTTTTAAGTCTAAATATAGAGTTATATTTCATGAATGAATATAACTCTCTATTTAGACAACCAAAACCCACAAAAAAGGCAGTTTGTAACTGGCACATCACATATATATGTGCTTATTCATTAATACAAGCTACTACGAGATAGTTTTTGGATTCTCAGCTGGTTGGCCCCATGTGTACAGAGTGGTGATCAAATGGCATATCGGCAAGAAGCCTTGTTGTGTCCGTGACGGTGGCAACGACTGCATTTACGTCCTCCTTTCTTCCCCTTACGCTGATTAGGAAGTAAATTAGATACATCTTATAATTTATAAACAGATGGAAAATTAGAGAGTGATTTCTGTACCTTGAATTCACCACGAGAAGTAATGCGGATTTTCTTTGGCCTTCCAGCAGGACGTTTAACATCAGGCGGTAGCAATTCCCCTCTAAAACCTTCTCCAATTTCCACATTACCAACAGATGGAACAGGGTAAATCTTCTCATCAAACCCAAGTTTCCAACAAGTTCCATAAAAAGCTTTGGAAACCATTGTCTCTGTTGGTATCTTGATACTTGCTGCTGCAGCTACGGCATGAGCACATGGAATCCCTAGTTGCTGATACTCCATACATGAGCATGTTCCCTCCACCAATCTAACTGTGAAGCATTCACCTTCTTGAGATTGAACTTGAAATTCGAATTGGCTTATTGCACGAACAGACTCGTTGAATCTTCAAATTTGTTTTCAAGTATTTTCTTCACATGTGGAGTCAGAGTATCTTCATATGAGTTTGCTTTAGCTCTCCTAATAGCAAACCAGCTCATAACAGATGTGCGGATGTATTCAAACATACAAATCAAAGGATATTCTCTTGCTTCCTTCAAGACAGCATTCCATGATTCAGCAATGTTGGAGTCCATTATGTTGTACCTTCGACCTTTGAAATGCACTCTAGTCCAATGCTCAAATCCTAAATCAATTTTAATTATAATAGGTGTTAGTTGAACATTATTTGTATATTGAAATATAACAATGATTTTGATAAGATAAATAAAGAATTGAATGATTGCATACCAATATCGACCAGATAAGCAGCGCATCCTGGACTTATCTTTTGTATTTCCAAAATTTTTTTGTTAAACTCAGAAATAGTGAAAGCTCTAGCTGCAACAGACACAAGATTTGCAACTCGACGAGGCTTGTATTCAGATCTAATGTTCCTCCACAGATGTACAATACAAGCAGCATGATGTGCAAGAGGGTAAACCTAGATCGAATAAATAATGTTTGAGTTTATCAAATGCTTATTGGTTGAATGATCAAGTGCAAATCATATCTTATGCATATTGACTGAAAATATATGAACTACCTAAAATGAAATTATTTGTATAATTAATAAGATTTTCTTACTTGTTCAAGTCCATTGTAGATACTTTGGTGGCGATCAGAGACGAAGACTAGATCGGCTGAATCAGGAACAAATGTCTTCAGCTTCTCCAAGAACCATTGCCAAGCACTATCGTTCTCACTGTCAACTATGGCAAATGCTAATGGGAAGATTTGGAAGTTTGCATCTTGGGCACATGCAGAGAGTAAAACACCTCCGTATCTTCCTTTCATGCTCGTTCCATCAATGACAACTACTTTCCTCATATACTGATATCCAGCTACAGAAGCTCCATAAGCAACAAAACAGTATTTAAACCTTGTACCTCCGATTGGATTTGTGACAGTCTCGAGACAGCAAATCGTCCCAGGATTGGCATTTTGGAGAAGAGCGAGATAAACTGGAATCAAAGCATAACTTCCAGCCATAGATCCATGTGCATTTTCCATTGCAATCTCACGAGCTCTCCACGCTTTCCAGTAGGAAACATTAACATGAAATTCATCAAGAAGGATCTTACGTATTCCTGCAGGTGTTGGACCTCTTTTAATGCCTACGAACTTACTCTGCATCAATTCACCAATAACTTGCGTTGTTGCAAGGCGATGATAGTTCCTTCTTGCATCTACAGAGCAGCTGTGTTTGAGAGTAGCTTGTCTGATTTGAAAGTTGCATGTGTTGTCGACTTGGACAGTGTATACTCTCCAACGGCAAGAAGGTGAGATGCAGTTCATCACCATGAAGTTGGGGGCTGATCGAGTAGTTCGAAAGTGAAATCGCCTATTAATAGCATGAATTGCTATTTTGATTTTGCAATCATTCTTCGATTTGAAAACTCTTCCGACAAATAGATTGTCTCCCTCATATGGAACATCAGCCAAAGCATCTTCTAGTTCTGCATAAAGGTAATTAAGAAAAGTAAGTGATTACTTACACATCTATATTCAGCTAATTATTTTCTATGTATTGATAGTTTCCATCTTTTAAATTTGTTAAATGCTTACCATCTCCTTCAGTGGTTGTGAAGACCGGTGGAGCGTCACGACCAAACAAAGCAGGTTCAGTGCTGAAATCATTAAGAATTTGATGGAGAGCATCTTCAAATCTTCCCCATCTGCTAAAGCGTCGACCTTGTTCTGGTTCGTAGTCACTCTTCTCATCGTCATCTTCACTGTCAGCTTCATTATCCGGTCCCATATGACTGTTTTCTCCATCTTGAAACAGACTCCGTCTGACTTCCACATTGTTGTTGTTGAGATGAACTTTTGGAACTTTAGATGGTAAAGATGGAACAACTGCGGCATCGTCATCATCACTATCACTTGAGCTTCCATAGTCTGTGACAATTCCTTTTCCTTTATCAGCAGCAGCAATCGTGGGACTTCTAAGACGAATTGCTGAAGCTCCTTCATTAATTGACACTCCTTTAGCTTTACTTTGTACACGGTGACGGTGTTTGGGAGGAAGATCAATGAGCTGTGACGAGCCAAACGCCGGAAACGTCATTGGTGTTTCAGATATAGCAAATTTATGCCATTCGTCTTCAGAATTTCCTCCATTATCTGCAGCATTAGATGATTGTATATCCTCTGTTTCAGGAGAGTGTTCCATCATCTTGCGGTTGCATGTCGGAATCGTGGGAACTCCATTTACATGAGCTGTTATTGTAACGCAAAGATTGACCTCCTCAATTTGGCGTCGCATCTGGATAAAGAACTGGACCTCCTGATCATCGGTTATATATTGCGGAGTTGATCCGTCACCGTCGTCGATGGCCATCCACTGTGGATACTGATAGCCGAGTTTAATACTAACATTGTCGGCTTTGATTTGCAATTTTATGCGGACTTCATCAACGAGATCTCGAAACTTGAGGTCGTCTGAGAGATTGATACTTCCGGAACCTTCATGCGTGTCTGTCTCGAAAACCCAAGCTCCGGTAGTTTCGCGAACCCATGTTCCGACGAGTATAGTTACCTCATCTTGTGGAGATTTCTGTTCATATGTAGCAGATTAGTTAGTGATTTATTCAGCAGTTGTACTCTGTAAACTTTTCAATATTCAAAGAGATCTTTATCAAAACCAGATCTATATTTATACCTATCGATGTGAGTAAATACAACTAACTATTCATGTACAAGAATCACATACAGTATTTACTAAGTTAAAGCTTAGGTAATTACCTGACTACTAGGGCCCTCTTTATTTACTGCAACGCTTTTCTCTTTTTCAGACATAGTTGTAGGTTGTGAAAAGTACAGAACAGAGAAAATTGAGATGGAATGGTATATTTCCTTTATAAATAGACCAGTTCGAAGGTCTCTAGGTTTTTCCTTAAAAAATACTTGGCTTATTCCTGACCACAAAAAGCAATTTAGAGGGAAACTCAGGATTTTCAAAATATTTATTTGTTAAAGGTTATGATAGTGAGGGGACATTGTTGTTCGGCTGAGACACATGTATTCGGCTTGGCTCTCTGATAAAAGAGGCTCGTACTGTATTTTCCCGCTTAAAATTTCTGTGGCCATTTTCGTCTTTCTCTGGCACGTGAGTATCACCGCCTAATTTCCAAAAGCTTATTGACATTTACCTAATATTAAGGCCCAATACTGATATCCAGCAAATTGCCCCTAAGAGTTTTAAGTATAATTTTTTTGCTATTAACTATCGATAAATATTAAAACATTTACCAATTGAAGAATGTTTACTTTAGGGTATATTTTAAAAAATTTCAGTTATAGTCATTTTCTAAATCTCAAACCCTAAACCCTTAACTCTACACCACAAACACAAACACTAAAACCTAAACTTCTAACCCTTAATCAGAAACACCAGGTTTTTAATTAAATTGTTAAATATAAACATAAAAAATATATGAAAATCAGACACTTATCACAAATGTCAAGTTTAGTCATCTTGTAAATTCTAAACTCTAAAAACATAAACATAAAAAACCCAAATTCAACACTTATAAAACAAGTTAAAGTAAATATCATCATTGTAAAATTTTAAACTCCAAATCATAAATCCTAAAATTTAATTTTTTTAATAAATTATAGAATTTATAGTTTTGCTGCCACTAATTTACCACATACTGCAAAACTAATCTAATAATTAAAAAGAAAAGTATGAAAATGCTAAATTGCAAGTAAAATATCAAGACTTTTGATTGGCTAAATCACAGAGACAAGGATCACATATTATACACCGTTGATGAGATTAAATCAACGGTTGTAAAACCTTCCTCATCTTACTAACTTTTTCCGTTAGTCTTCTCTTTCTCGTCTCAAATCTAGCTTCTCTCACTCAGTCAATCTCTTCATCTTTCTCACCCAATCTCCAAGCCATTCTTCTCTCTTCTTCTTCTTCTTCACACCCAAAGCCCTAATCTTCTTCAGAATCAGAATCAAAATCCCTCTTTTTTTTTCCCTCTCGTCATCGAAATTAAAATCGAATGCGGCGGGTCTACTAGTTCCACGGTTTGTTCCGGCGTCGCCTCCTAAACCCTGGTTTTGCTTCGGACACTGCTAGAGATTTAGGAGCGTCAAGCCAAGGTTTACGCCAAACTCAAAAAGTTTGATTGATTATTGGAAATTTCTCCCTCTTGGTTGATGTTGTTGTTAATTGTCGAATTGAATGACTTTCAAGTCAATTTGTTGCAGAATTTAAAATCGTTTAATGCAGAGCCCCAAGTTACTAGAATATGCAGGGAAGCAGCGGAGTTTATAGTCGCCTGAAGGTGGCTCGATTAAGTTGATTGTAAGTTTAAAGTCTAAAACTGACTTACAATACTTGGTGTATTTGTTTTTGTCTTCTTACACTAATTAAGGACTTTGAAAAATTACTTATAGTATTATTAAGTATTAACATTGAATTTTGTTGCAGGAAACTGGTTCTGTTGATATCGAAGAAGAAGTTTCCAAGATCAGAGGTCAAAGAGACCGAAATACTTCAGAAGTTTAAATGCAATTTTTTAGATATGTACATTTACTTTGTAGTATAGGTCTTTGTAATTTGTTATCATGGTTTCATATAATAAAAATAAAAAAATAACATTTCGGTTTTCAATTTCAATTTATGTGAAAGTAATTAATAAAATTACAAATTAAAATGCTGTTATTAAAACAATTAAAAGAAATATAAACGCTATAGAAATTGAAATTCTGGGACAAACCATAACATGTATTGAATGCTATTGTAAAACTGAAAACAAACGCTATGAATAAAACAATTAATAGCAAAATAAAAATGTTATTGTAGATTCTAAGATTGCATATAAAAGACCGCTATAATAAATAAAATTATAATAGCAATCTTGAAAATTGCTATGAAAAGTGTATGACCTACGGGTGCAGACATAGCGCTTTCTACAACGCTATTTTTCGGATGCTATGAATACCCATTTTTCCTGTAGTGACTATTCTCTAGTAAAGTAAAATCAGACGTTAAGTCACTCTTCTTGCCGCTCTCACTGAGAAATATATAACTAGCTACTCCCTCCGTTTTTTTTTAATAAATTTTCTAGCCATTATGTGTTATTTCACAAAGATAAAATTTTTACCTTTTTGATGCACTTTTTCAGTTTTCAAGATACAATAATTATATTTGTTGGATTTTTACTGGTTTAAAATTATAAAAAGTTGTTTTATTGCAGAAATCTATGTACTAATGATTAAAAATCAACTTTTTCTTAATCTGTGTGAAAAAACTAGAAAATTTATCTTTAAAAAACGGAGGGAGTATTATTTAGGCTTTGACCTTTTGATCTTTCTTTTTTCGGTTAAGTCTGATTCAGTTAATTTGCCAAAGAAGGTTACGCAATGGTTCTGTTCTAGATTTCTTAACACTCTGCTGCTTATAGAGCAAAGCCTGTTATCTGCTTGGTGAGTAGATCTTTGATTGTTTTCATCTCTTTTATAATCATCAGGAAATATATTTTACTTCTTCGATTTCTATGTTTTACATATATTAACTTAGAAACAAAGTTTCTCCGGGTTCAGAAATGTAAATGCATATTGTCTATTGTCTGTGAGCACAATTTAGTTTCAAATTTAACATTCATACATATACATATATAGCCTTCATTGAAAGGTTTAGTTTGTCCTGGTATTTGAGTTTTGCAAGTGGAGACTATCGAATTAAAAGTCTAGTTGTTTGTGAATGGTATTTTTTTTTTTATGGCGATTATACCTTGTTAGCAAAGTTTAATAATCAATATATCAAAAGCAAAGATAACTCGCTAATCAGTGCTTTAGTCAAGGGTACGATTACGGTAAAGGAAAGGGGAAGAAGGTCCTTACAAATGCAAACTCCAATGTAAACATGCATCTCTTATTGACGGACAAAGTAAGCTAATTAATGTGTGACAAAGATGACAAATTCTTCATCAAGATCAATAGCAAAGATTCGAGCTTTCGTTTGATCTTAAAACAAACAAACAAAAATGACAAATGCATAACATCTATCATTCCATGGGCTGATTAGCTATTATTAACCCATGTATTTAAGCCCACTTTCCAAGAGCATAAAGGCCAAAGCTATATCAACAACTATCAAGCATGTACTTGGGATTAATACAAGGTTAACATGATGGTTGTCATGATAACAAGAATAACATGATAATTGGATTAACATGAACTAATTTACTATTATTACATTATTTAAAACTAATTTATCGGTCCACTAAATCTATTCACTAAATTCTCCCAACTTTTATTAAACACAAAAAAAGAATTTAGTTTTTTTTTACTCAAAGAAAACCCTAGTTTAATTACTGTGTTTATCTATATAATTTTCTTACTTTTTTTAACATAAAGTTAAAGACGGTTGTACTACCCTACTTTATTGGTCTTTCAACGAACATTCGAGAACGTGATAAAGTCTTAGTCCTTACGAAGTAAGCTTTCTCACAGTTTTTTTTCTATTTTCAATTAAAGAGCTTCGAATTTTTGCTAGTTCACAAGTAAAATCATCTCTCATAATCATTTCTGTCTTAATCTTACGAGTCAAGTTTTTTTCCACTCAAGAGTCTTTCCCGCCTGATCAGATCCAAACAAAATTCCGATGGAGAGAGGCGGTTACAGAGGAGGCCGTGGTGATGGCCGTGGCAGAGGTGGCGGAGGCCGCGGTGATGGACGTGGTAGAGGAGGCGGAGGCCGTGGTGATGGCGGAGGAGGAGGAGATCGTGGTCGTGGTTACGGCGGTGGTGGTCGTGGCTCCGAGCGAGGAGGCGGTGGTTTAGGAAATCGCGGCCAGGGTTCCGGTGGTGGTCGCGGTGGTGAATACGATCGCGATCAACAGAATCTCCGAAGCCAGAGTCAGTGGGGACCACCGCCGGGAACGCAATTGCAACAACCTCGACCACAACAGGCGGTTCAACAACCGTCGCAGGCGGTTCAACAGCCTCCGCAGGCTCAATCGAGTCCCGCCGTTGCGGCAGGAGGCGTTGGTAGAGGCGCGTGGGGTCGTAAGCCGCAGGTTTCTTCTGAGACGGCGGTTTTACCTCCGCCTCCTCCTCCGTCCGCCGTCGTGGCTCCAACTGAAACACCTCGTGGTATGCACAGTAACCTAATTTATTTTGTTTTCTCAATTTCTCCCAAATCTCTGTTAATTTTAGATTCCTTGTGATCGATTATTCTCTGAGAAAACAATTTTGAGAAAAAACAAACACTTTTGTTTCTTCTGGGGAATTGAAATTAGGGAAAATTTTAACAGACGCATCATTTTAGTTCCATTACTCTATACAATCATTGAAGTGGTATATACATTGGAACTTATGTGATTTAATCAATAGTCTTTGTTTCCATTGATGAACATTTCTTGTGCTTTTAATTCTAGCTACAAGTTAACAAGAAACATTCATCAGTGGAAACAATCAATTATTGTAATTCATATGGTTTATTTATATTGGAACTTACTCTGTTACTTTATATGTTTAGCTACAAATTAACAAGCAAGTTTGTGTTTATTAAATTTATCTTCACAGCTGCTGAAGTTATGAATCCGAGTCCATCTGTGCAACTTGCTTCTTCTCACAAGAAGGAACCTATGAAGCGTCCCGATAATGGCGGTGTTGTGGCTGTCCGGCGAGTAAACCTCTACGTCAACCACTTCAGAGTGAACTTCGACCCGGAAAGCGTCATCGGACACTACGACGTCGAGATCAAAGGCGAGATCCCGTCAAAGAAGGTATCAAGATTCGAGCTAGCCATGGTCAGGGACAAGGTCTTCACAGACAACCCCAACCAGTTTCCCTTCTCCATGACCGCCTACGACGGGCAGAAGAACATTTTCAGCGCGGCGAAGCTCCCCACTGGATCATTCAAAGTCGACTTCCCGAAAACCGACGAGTCCAGAGCTAAGAGCTACACGTTCACCACCAAGCAGGTGAGCGAGCTCAAGCTCCGTGACCTTAAAGAGTACATGACAGGAGGCTCGTCTCTCAACCCTCGCGACGTGTTGCAAGGCATGGACGTTGTGATGAAGGAGCATCCTTCGAAATGCATGATCACAGTCGGTAAATGCTTCTTCGACCGCAAACCGGAGGATGATTTCAACTTCGGCGTCGCGCCGGCCAAAGGCTACAGGCACGCTCTCAAGCCCACCGCGCAGGGCTTATCTCTCTGCTTGGACTACTCCGTGCTGGCGTTCCGGAAAGCGATGTCCGTCGTGGACTACCTGATGCTATACTTCGGCTTGCGTGATCTGCGTCAGTTTAACAGACGCGACGTGGAAGAGGAGCTGGTTGGTTTGAAAGTCACTGTGACTCATCGGAAGAACAAGCAGAAGCTCACCATTGTTGGACTGGGCAAGAAAGCTACGAAAGATGAGACGTTCGACCTTATAGATCAAGAAGGCAACGAGCCGCCGAGGAAGATCTTCATTGTTGAGTACTTCAGGGTCAAGTACGGAAAGGACATTGTTCATAAAGACGTTCCTTGCTTGGATCTTGGCAAAAACGGGCGGCAAAACTTGGTTCCGATGGAGTTTTGCGAGTTGGTTGAAGGACAGATTTATCCGAAAGAGAACTTGGATAAAAACTCAGCCTTGTGGTTGAAACAGTTGTCACTAGTCAATCCGCAAACAAGGAAAGATAATATCTTAAAGATGATAAACTCTCGCGATGGACCTAGCGGGTATGTTCACAAATCACTTAGCTTTGTTTGTTTGTTGTTTGTGTGAATGAGTCTTAACGTTTGTTTGTAAATGACAGTGGAGAGATCATTACGAACTTTGGGATCGACGTTGAGACTGAGATGACACGTGTGGAGGGACGTGTGCTCAAGGCACCGGCGTTGAAGCTGGCGGAGAGAGGGAGACCGGTCAGGGAGGAGCCGAACGCGAGGCAGAACAACCAGTGGAACCTAATGAGGAAAGGAGTCACGAGAGGCTCGGTGGTTAAGCACTGGGCGGTTCTTGATTTCACCGCGGCTGAGAAGTACAACAACATGAAGATGCCTTATGACTTTGTTGAGAATCTTATCAAACGTTGCTCGACGCTTGGGATGCAGCTTCACGCTCCCATCGTTAGTAAAGCTTCGAGCATGGACACGCTTAGAAACGCTAACGCTCTCGAGAAGCTGCTTCGTGAAGTGATTGAGGAGGCGAGTCAGAAGCACGGTGGGGCTCGTCCTACGCTCGTTCTCTGCGCTATGTCCGGGAAGGTTGATGGTTACAAGACTCTGAAATGGATAGCTGAGACTAAACTTGGTTTGGTGACTCAGTGTTTCTTGGGTAGCTCTGCTGCGAGAGGAGGTGATCAGTACAGAGCAAACTTAGCGCTCAAGATCAACGCCAAGGTCGGTGGAAGCAACGTGGAGCTGATGGATACGTTCTCTTTCTTTAGAAGAGAAGATCAGGTCATGTTCATTGGCGCTGATGTGAACCATCCTGCTTCTCGGGACAAGATGAGCCCGTCGATCGTCGCGGTCGTTGGTACGTTAAACTGGCCGGAAGCGAACCGTTACGCGGCGAGAGTCATCGCTCAGCCGCACCGTAAAGAGGAGATACAAGGGTTTGGTTATACAGTCTTCGAGCTTGTCAAAGCTCATTACAAGGCTACAGGGAAACGACCTACCAAGATTGTGATATTCCGAGACGGTGTCAGCGACGGTCAGTTCGATATGGTTCTCAACGTGGAGTTGCTTGACGTGAAGCTTGCTTTCGAGAGGCTTAATTACAATCCGAAGATAACGGTCATCGTGGCGCAGAAACGTCACCAGACTCGTTTCTTTCCTGCTACGGTTAATGATGGGAGTGATAAAGGGAACGTGCCGTCCGGGACCGTCGTGGACACGAAGGTTATTCATCCGTCTGAGTATGACTTCTACCTTTGTAGTCATCATGGTGGGATTGGTACGAGCAAGCCGACGCATTACTATACGCTTTGGGACGAGATAGGGTTCACTTCTGATCAGATGCAGAAGCTTATCTTTGAGATGTGTTTCACTTTCACTCGCTGCACTAAACCGGTGTCTCTTGTTCCTCCGGTTTATTATGCTGACATGGTTGCGTTTAGGGGGAGGATTTACTACGAGGCGAGCTCGAGGGAGAAGAACTTTAAGCAGCAGCAGCCACGGGGAGGTTCTTCTTCTTCTTCCTCTTTTGCTGCTGCTTCGCTTTCTTCTGCGTTTGCTTCGATGACTGTGGAGGACCAAGCGGTGTTTAAGCTGCACCAAGAGCTTGAGAACGTTATGTTCTTCGTCTGAAGGAGGAAAAACAAAGGTTTGGGTTATGGTTTGTGTTTTTGGGTCCCTAAGCTTAATTTAAAATCTATTAGTGAAATATCGGAATGCCCAAGTAACGCAGTTTTACTCCTTTTTCTGGTAGAAAGGAATTTGTGCGTGAATCTAATTGGGTCTTTTGGCAAAATATATGCTCTCTTTTTTTTCGTTTTCTTTGTTTCTTCAAGTTGGTTTGTTGAAAACAGTTTATGTTTGGTATTTGTATTATTGCTCTTTAGAGCAGATGCTACGTTATGTCATGGTGTTTTATTATAGTTATATTATTAAGACTCTGGATTTGATTAGTAATTCATATTTTTGCTATCTTTCTGCAACTTTTTTTGTTTCTGAGTTTTGTTAAAGCCTGAAATATGAGAAGAATGAGTGTGGGGTTACATTATTATACAAACTTGGCTCTTTCATATTTTGTTTGTCTCTGAGATTCCTTTAGTGTTGGGCTTTCTGCAATTTTATGGAGAAACAATATCTTTATTTGATTATTTGTGGCTATGATCATGAAATTGCGATCACCAAAGTTGGGGATGAGTCTATGAGAGACATCCATACAAAAAAATCCATAACTGAGCTCAGTGATGGGAAATTCCTAGCTAGGACCATGAACCACCACTAACCATAGACGTTAACTTTAATATACATCACTGAAGTTTGATTTTGGATAATTTTAGAGTTTTAGCAGTGAGATTTTGAATGGTTGAAACAAATTGTTGTGTTATGCGGTTGCATTTACATAATTACATGTACCTAACTCATTTATTGGTTTGTTTTCTTCGCTTGCACAATCTCATTTAGTACAATTTTTTCAGATTACAAAAATGTTCCATACCGTATTGTATATATCCCATATACAAAAATAGCAAAACTAAGAAAAAGCCAAAATGTTTTGAGAAAAGTAAAGAGGATACCAAACCAAATGAAAAAGACATGGTAGTCGAAGTGATTCACACGAATCGAACTATATAATAATAATCTCCATTCTTTATTTTAGTCCCATTATATCTACTTGCCGTTAGTGTCTGGTTCATGTTATTTTTTTCTTTTTCATATAACGTATTATTCATTTCTTGACAAAAAAACTTATATTAATTCCCTTTTTTGTAGATTTTTTTTCCCCACCTATTATCATAAGTTTGGCACATATAAACGATAGAGAAACCTATGAATTCAAAACCAAATTATAGCCTTGGATTTAACAATATTTTGTTTGTTTTTGTTTTTTCGTGCACCAGCTGTAGTTTTTATAATTTTTTTAAAAATAAAAATTCGTGAGATCGAGTGTATTGTGTGTTCTCTTCTCCATTCACATTCACATTATCACATTGATTAAAGCTAAAGTTTTCATTTGATGCTACTTCCGATTTACCCTTTCGCTGCTGCTTTTTTCTCACTCTCACAGTTTTCTCGCCGTTTCTGAAATCTTTCTTTCCTCTGCGACCATTTTCTCCGGATTTTTTTCTTCCATTTTTTTTTTTCAAATTCAGATTTCCCCAGAAAAAGGTACCTTCTCCAAACCTTCGTGTTTTCGGTGCGTTTTGCGATTCATGGATCAGATTTGACTTCGATTGAAATCCAATTTTCGTTTATCCTTTGATTGGATTTGGTCAATTTTTACTCTTCCTTTAGAATCGTCTTCCCCATCTAGGTGTTTCCTGTATCTATCGAATCTGCATTTTGTTAATTTCAAATTCTGAGATTAGGGTTCATACATATTGTTAGATTGCCGGAAAAAAAAAACTGGGCCGTTTATCATAATTCCCATAACTCATTTCACTTTTAACGTATCGAGATTGAGCAGTTTCTACGAATTCTGGATTCGGTGGATTAACATTAGTGGATATGTACATGAGTCTCGAGATTGATCTCTATTGCATTTTGGGGGTTTTTGTTTGGTGTAGGTGGAGATGAGAATCGATAGGTAAAAAGTTGAAAAGACCCAAAAATCTCTGTGTATTATTATCTGCAATGTCGACGTCTTTGCAAACGATTGGTGCCATTAAGTCTTATCATCACCAAGCTCAGCATTTGGTGAAGAATTATCTCTTAGCTGATCCATTTATTCCTTACACTTCTGTTCTCACCGGCATTTTCCTTTGCAAAGTGGTAAGATTCGATTGTTTTTGGTAACTTTACAGATCTAGGAACAAAGCTAGATCCTTTTGTGATTGATGAATGATTGTTTGATTGTATGTTTTTCCTTCTTTATTTTGTTTGCAGGTCTATGATCTTTGTCACTTTATCAGCAACTCACATTCTAAGACCTATATCATCCTCACGAAAATTCAAAGAATCGAATGGAATAACCGGTTCGTGTTAATGATTTGTTCAAGTGTTGTGTGTGTCCATTTATGATCTCTGCTAAATCATTTCGTTGTGTTTGGCAGTGGTATTTCAACAGTTCATGCTATTTTTATCTCGGCTATGTCGCTGTACTTTGTCTTCTGGTCAGACCTCTTCTCCGATAGGTGGCATAACGATCTTGTTGTTTTCCGGAGCTCACGGCTTTCTTCTCTTGGTTTAGGAGTAAGCACTGATTTAGCTAATGTAGAATATTTGAGAGAAGAATTTTCAACATGACACATAATGTATATATGAATTGCAGTTATCCATTGGCTACTTCATTGCTGATCTTGGGATGATCTTCTGGAAATATCCTTCTTTGGGTGGACTTGAGTATGTAAGTAACTTTTCTTGACCAAACACTTTGCTCCATAGTCTGTCTAATGATTTTCTGATTTCTCCCCAAAGATATGCAAAATCCTCCCAAATGTTCAGCCTGTTGATGTTTCACTTTTGGTTTTATCTACTTGTGTACCTCTGCACCGCTCAACAGTATAAAGATTGTTAATGCTAGAACTAAGATAAAGATTGACGCTTTGATTTCAGATTGTGCATCATTCACTGTCAGGGGTAGCAGTCGCTTACTCTTTGTTTTCTGGGGAAGGACAGTTGTATACCTACATGGTCCTCATCTCCGAGATTACAACCCCGGAGATCAACTTGAGATGGTACTTCCCCTTTTTTTTACCATGTACCATACAAAATTAATCACCTTAGCATTCTTACCAACAAAAAACTTGGATTATCTCGGGGGGTCTTATGAAGGTACCTGGACACAGCTGGTATGAAGAAGTCACTGGCATACGTTGTCAATGGCGTTTTCATCTTCTTGGTTTGGCTGGTACATAAACAACCAATCTACATTTCGTTCCACAGCATTGATGTGCCTACTTATCACTCTTTAACATTTTCATGTCAGGTTGCTAGAATTCTACTGTTCATATACATGTTTTATCATGTCTATCTCCATTACAACCAGGTAAAAAAACTCACACTCCCCTGTCTCTACATTCTCTTCACTAACTTGCAGTTTTATTGATTATGTTGATACCTGAATGAATCAAAACCTTTCCCCATTTCAACTCAATACATCACAGTGCTGTCAAATGTGATTGGATTTGCTTTGTTTTGCTGCGTAGGTCATAAAGATGCATATATTCGGTTACGTTCTGGTATTTGGCGTACCAACTGCGCTCGGTATCATGAACTTGGTATGGTTCGGTAAGATTGTGAGAGGGGTGAAGAAAACATTAGCAAAGAGATGTGAATGTTGATGTTGGTGAGTCTTGCTCACAATGTTTTCATCAGATCATCTTCTTCTTCTTCTTCTTCTTTTTTCCCTCTGACATATGTCTGTCTCTCTAGTGTAAGTAGTTTTTGTCTGATGGAGAAACGAGAAGAAACGAAAAAAAGAACAAAAATGATACGATCCCTCTGACTCTGTAAATGATCCAAATTCAAGTCTCTTTACGTTTTTCATTTATACATTATGTAACTCTGTTTTTTTTTATTTCTATTAGTTTTGGCTCTAGGGTTTAACATCTGCTTCATCAGTCGTTATATCCAAAAAATCGATACAGTAACTACAAAAATGATGAACAATTTTGTTTTCCGGCTATGTCGAGGGGGAACTAGAGGAACCCATTAGTCAGCCATTTTACTAATTTTGGCTCGATTTTCTTAGTAACAGCAACATACCAATGTAGACGGGTAACAAAGCATAAACGTAAAATGTACAATTTATATGTGTCAATATTTGTCTAAACAAATTATGGATGTTTACTAACATAACGAAGAGTTTTGGTGAGGCCCATTATATGACTACTTGTATTTATCGGCTTATGAGCCCATTAATGAGAAGCAAATAATACAGTTGCAATGTCACAAGAAGTGCGTATTCGTATGTCGACATCATTGAGGTCTATTTCTAAAACAAAAATTAGGACAAATGTACAGTACGGATACAAACAAAGCTATGTGGCTGATTGTGTATTTAAACAGGTCTACTTTATTGTTTGTTGTTTCTTGTAAAACGAAAACAGAAAAAGGAATAGTGTTTATACTTTCTTCTTTTGTTTCTTCTTATTTATTTATATTGAAACTGCTAATTAATCAGAGGAACATATACAAGACACATGCAAGTGCTGCTGAGGCAAAATTAATCATACAGCTTAATGTGTATAGAGTCTATACACCGAGTTAATCGTGTAACTACATACATGATACAGCATTACATCAACCATATAAATGAAAATTGTTTGTCATTTTTTAATTTTTATCACATAACTAGATTTTTTTAGATTTTATTTCAGGTACAATTTGGTGTATCGTAAAGCACCAGTCTCTATCTAAAATGTTTACTTATTTATTTATTTATTATCATTATTTCAACACACACAGCTCACTTTCTCTGTAGAAAAGCTGCATCTGGAGGGTGTGGGGAAGAAAAAGAGAAGCACTTTTGGCCATAGAGTACAACACTATACACACAATTACATTCATCACTTTATTTATTAAACATTTTTCATATTTTAAAATATTATATTATATTGCTTCCCAAAATTGGCCCATTGTGATTTATTGTTGTGACCCCCTCATGGGTTCCTTTTATTTCCCTTTTCTCACTAACAAATAAAATAATGAACTATCGTGTTCATAAGATGGACCTTACGTGTGTTTATAGGATCTGCATTGACTCTTTACCTATATGAAGCATGGTTATTCAAGTCTAGCTTAGACCTCCTGTTTTCCACTTTCCTTAAGTATATTCTTAGATTTTAGAATCGACCTGTTTAAGTGAAGTAAAATTTAAAATTGAAACGTGTGTCACGTACCCTACCTAAACCCACCAAATTAGGATTATTAACTTTGGCTCTATGTGTAGATTGTGTCTTATTCCTTGCTCGTGTGGGATGGTTTCTAAATTTATTTATGGAGTTTGCGCAAATGTAGGTCTTGTGAATTTAGTTTACATCATCAGACCTTTTTTTTTGTAAACATCAGATAATAGGATTTATTTTATTTAACCTCTGATCATCTACTAAACTAAAAAATAATTTTATCCAATAAAAATATAAGAGCTTTATGTCCCCACAAAAACAAAACAGGTTTATCACCAAAACTACAAAATATTGGCTAAAATAAATAGACCAAAGGTTTTGAAATAACTACCCAAAGCGTTTATCAACAATCAGAACTACAATTTTTGATAAACATGTTCGTCCAAAACAGGTTAGCAAATACAACTTTGATAAAATTAATTAGAAAGCTAAAGAATGACAAGGTTTTGTCACAACTCAGTGAACTCACTAAGCTTTTGGTGCATTGAAGAGAGAGTGAGAAAGAGAGAGAGAAGAATGAGACTGATGAGAAAGGGAACCAATAATACTCAATAGAATGGCCTCCACACTCTTCCCCTTCCTTTGACTGCTCTCTCTGCCCCCTTTGACCACTTTCTCTCTCACTTAAATGCTTCCCCTCCACGCGCCTCTCTCCTGTGCGTTCATCTCAAACTCCCCACTCCAAAAAGTTTCTTTTATATCAAAGATTTGCATGATTAGGTCCATGATTAGCTATCGACGTCCTTCTAATTCTTTTTGTTAAACTAGTGCTAATTCAGTGGCTTTACAATTATTTGAATAAGTTATCTATGCTCCATATTTTTGAACTTGAAATCTCAAACGGTCCATATCAAGGACCTCTCTTGTACGAATAAAATGTTTGTGTTCATATTCTTTTAATAACTTAATACACATTAGAAGTAAACATAACTTAACACGATAAGTAACAAAAGCTACGATTTGACCTAATCAAACAAGAGATTATACTAATTAAGCCCTTTAATTAGTTTGGTGTATTTATGCATATCCATTTTTTTGTGATATGTGACAAGTGACATCCACAGTTCCGCTATCAGATTTCAACTAATCTTGCATGGAATCAACAAATTTCATTTATATTTTAAAAAGATTGAGAGAGAAGACAATAATATCAATTTATGTACTTGCATCAAATCACCAGTCTCCTCGATCGCGATTAATCACTTCCCTAATTAATCAAATTAATTACATAATAATTTTTCAAGCAATTATGGTGGACCTCCTTGATGCTGATTATCATGGCGAGAAGTCGAAGAAGTAGAAGAAGAAGCCAAAGCGAAAATGGAGCTAGCGAGCTTATTAATGGCTTCAACTAATCCATTCATTCCTTCTCTGTTCATCTCGACATTCGATTCTTCGATCTTTAATCTCCTCTCTTGTATGCTCATCACTTCTTTATGTCTCCGATCTTGTCTCTCCTCACTCTCCCTAATCGCGTTTGCAATCACAGACGCACTTCTTGATAACGCAGCCGCCACTGCTGTCTCGCCTTCCTCCACTTCTGCGTTACCTCCGCCGCTGGGACCGGCGGCTGCTGTGGCCGGTACTGTTCTCCTTCGCTTCGCTGGAGATGTGTCTGAATACTCACTCGTATCAGAATCTGAGCTACTATCCTTCTTCAACCAAAAAATTATTTAAACCATAATCGTAACCAAATATAGAGGTGATTATTTAAGAGTTATATCAAAACAAAACATGAACATTATAGAGGTGATTATTTAAGAGTTATTATCAATTAAATTTATGTAATGTATGTTCCTCTTTTTCACTTAAAAATTTATAGAGGTGATTATTTAAGAGTTATATGAAAACAAAACATGAACATTAGCTTAATTTAGTTTTTTTGTTCAAAATAGCTTAATTTAGTTAATTTTTTTGTTTGGTTTTAATGTTAAGATTTTTAAAATTTAGTTAAATTTAATTGTATATTCAATTACAAAAAAAAAACTTAGAGCGATGCCATTGCTAAAGAGTTAAGAAGAGAGAGAAAGAAGGTACCTACTGTGGGCAGTATTGGCTGAGCATGAAAAGAAGGCGGTGGAGGCGGTGGCAGAATTAGCGGTGGTGGTAGCGGCTGTGGCGGTTGAGACGGTGGTGGAGGTTGAAGGGGCAATAAAACAGGAGACTGAAGTATTTGATGCTTCGGAACAAATCCTAAACCTTGTTGTTGTATCAGTTTTTGGATTTGTCCACCGCCGGAACCGTTTCCACTTCCAATGGCGGCGGCGGCAGCAGCGACGGCAGCGGTTACAGCTGTTGCGGCGGTGGAAGAAGGGAGCGTTTTGTTCTCCACCACTTCAAACAAGGCTTGGTATGTTTGAGGCAACATATTACTCGGCAAGTTTCTCTCTTTCCTCTCACTCTTCTCCATCTTCCAGTATGACCCCGTTTCTCCACCAGCTGCGGATGAAGATGCAGATGAAGAGGCAAAAGACGATTCTACCCTCCGTCTCTCATACTCTCTAACCTTTTTGTAATCTCTCATGAGATTGTCCCACTTGTCATTGCACTGATTCTGACTCCTCATACAACCTTTCCTCCAACAGTAATCTTCTATCCATTTCCACCTTAGCTCCGCCGGTTTATTACTAATGCTGCCACTACTACTCCGGCTATCTTGTTGATGTTCCGGCGCCGGAAGCCCGATGGACCGCCGCATCCGCCTCTCGTCGTCCATCTTCTTGGCCTCAATGAGCACCATCGTCTCATTCAACGTCCAGTTCCCTTTTCTGTACTCTCTCATTACTAACCCACCACTTTGGTCAGCCATGTTATCTTGAAATCTTGAAAAAAAAATCAAGAACTAGAGAGAGAGAGAAAGAGAGATTAGTGTAGAGAGAGAAAGAGAGAGGCTTTTGGTAGGTGTTGGAGAAAGGGGAGAAGAAAGGGATTGTCTTTGGGAGTGGGGGGATAGGTGTAGTGTTGTTATGTGAGTGTTTAAGTTTTGGGGATACTTTGATTCTTTTTTTAATTTTTAGTTCATGTGAGTGAGAAGACTGGTCAAAATCTTTTTGTTGTAGTACTAAGATTGTCACCAAGTGCAATAAAAGGACAATGCTTGCGAAATTGGGAGCCAAGTGAAAAGAAAAAAATAAGAAAATCTAAGTAGTGTATCCCATTCATTCATTTAATAAAATTGGGCGTTTGTCTTTTTATAAAATTGCATTCTCTCATTCATTCTCATGTCTCTATTTATTTCTTTGGGGACAGGAAAATCTTTAGGTGTATCTAGCATTTCTAATTATGTACACAATTTCAAACAGAGAAGTAAATGGGTCAATGTTTCATAAAATCTACTTCCTCGATGTATTTTCATTATTGTTTCATAAATTAATTCATAGTAAAACATAGAATGCTAGAATGTATATTATTAACAAAAGAATGTGTGTTTAAGAAGTAAAATGAAAAATTCGTAAATACAAGCCGAGAAGTACACTAATTGTTTTTTTTTCTTCTTGTTCTTAGCTTTTCGCATCGCCATTGGCCCATTCAGAAGATTGTACGTTATGATAGGTATGTAGACCGAGCTAGAGATAGAAATACGATAAAACTATGTCTAGAAACGACAAATGAGAACAATACGATTCGATGTTTCTAATTAGCTTAGGACCACATAATATTTCATAAACGGTCTTATTCAACAAGGCAAAGGCATGAGTGATGTACAGTAAAACCTCTATAAAACAATAATGTTGGGACTTTGAAAATTTATTATCTTATCGAGTTATTGTTTTATCGATAAAATAATAATAATTATTTTATAAAAATATTCTATAAAAAAAAGAAACTTTATAGAAATATATGTAAGTAGGTACACGTAAGGAATCAATTGTGGCTTCGAAAACTCTTCACAACTTTTGGCCCCAGAAATTGTTGATGCAATAAGAAAAATTCGAGATGAGCTCCAACGAGAATCCAACTTTCATAAAAGACAAACTACATTGGAGTCATATTTTACTAAATTGCCTTAGATATATATGCCTTAGTTTTATAATTATTATCTTAGCCTATTGTTGGGACTATATTTTTACATAGGAGTTTCAAAAATATTATTGTCTTATCATCTTATCGCATTATGCTATTTTTTACATTGGCCCGAGTTGGGACCGGAGAAATTTATTATCTTATAGTGTTTATTGTTTTATCGAGTATTATTTTATAGAGGTTCTACTGTATCTATTTTCAAACTTATAACTTGCAAGAAATTGGAAGATTTTGGAGGCATCCTATGTAGATCTCATTTCCATTTACATAAAAGAAAATAAAGGGATGATATACACTTTTTTCAAACTTCGAAAAGCTATTGGCTTTATATGATTGCTTCTCACACTTTCTTTTTAAAAAGATTGATTTACGAATCTCTAATTCATGTGCACGAGCTATAAGTAGAATAATAATTACCTTTTTAATGTCTTTGCTTACAACACTTTGAGCCTTGTGCGCATATACAGGTTTGATTTCTACAATACGTAAAATGCTTAATTTTCTTATATACATAATTATAAATTATAACTACTATTGAAATGTTGTATAAGAGTTCAAAGAAACACAGGGAAAAATATTACTTGTTAGATTTCCTACGCAAAAATGTTAGATATAGACTGGTTGTCCTCGGGCTAAAAAAACATATAGCTAAATCCAGCATATAATATAATGAATATATATAGACTAGTTCCACCAATTTTAAACGAAATACATATCATTTTATCAATTTGAAGTTATATATTTATGTAATGAGATATAATCCTCATTTTCTACGGACCTTGAGGTTTGTGCACTCATTATATAAATTTTGCGATGACGATTAAGAATAAACATGGCTAATGTAAATTTGATTTTTGATCTGCGATCTCTTACCAAAATCCCATATGATGGTTCAGAACAATATATCACTTTTGTTAGAAGCATATAACTCTGGTCATATTCTTCAAAGTAATTAGATGTCACAATGTGTTGCATGCTGCACTTAATCACTTTTTATGATCATCATCTCAAAAAGACCTTTCTCAGAAAAACAAAAGGAAAAAGAGAGGATATATAAACTAATTTGCGTACATTACGTAAGTTGCATTGCATGGCGAGGACTATTATTACATCCCATATGGAAACGCAAACCGTTCATCATTGTCTGCAAAATAAGACATTAATAATCAAGCTCCCACGTTACAGAGTTGTAACTTGTAAGTCTTTCAAAAAAGGTTTAAAAAAAAAAAAATATTCTTTAGGAAATTAATGTAATGTATATTCATTGCTATTTATCTTGAGATAAGTTTGAATCGATCCTATAGTCAAAACTATGGTTTTTAATCTATAACTTCCACGTATATTTTAGTTACAAAAGAAAACTAGTTTTATGAAACAGCTTGATAAGTTTTATTGAATTACTTCCATATACTGTTATTCTACATCGAACGAACAGCTTGTGTAATAAGATAAGTAGTTGACCACTGATTCCGATCAGTTGTGTGAAAACATCGAATTAATGCTGGTATTACCCATAGAACTATCGATAGGGCCTCTTTTTTTCTTTTTCCTTTTTCACTTGGTACATTAGAAGAAACTTTTGATTCATCAAAGAATTTCTACACAGTTAAGGCCGCAATATATGTCCAAAACAAAAATTACAAATAGTTACTATACTCAGATGTCTACATGTGTGTGATTTATATAACTATAACTATATTTATATATCTATAAATATAAGTTTCATAGTAACAAAGTCGATGATATATCATTTACGATGAATAACGAAATGAAAGCTGAATAACGAAATGAAAGAAATAAAAGAATGGTTTTTTGAAAAAAAAAAAAAAAAAAGCTGGAAGCCCTTCCAAAAAAAAAAGAAAAAACAGAAATGGAAGTGGAATGAAATCAGAGAAGCAAAGGATCTATCGAAACTTGCATGGAGGTAGTGGATCGAATCATATATACTTCTGCATGCATGGATCGTATGCTTTTTATAAAGATCAAATCTCTCAAAACCTCCAAAGTTTATTTACTTTCAATAAACAAATGCAACCTAAACCTTAACAATCATTAAGATGCTAAGTCTCTATTTCTCTCTCCTCTTATTTATATTTATTTGATGGTTGACATGCATGCCACTATAATTAGTCACGTCAAAACATTAATGAAACCCTAAGATAAAACATAGTATATTTTTAATTTTTTTAAACCAATACTTTTTTTGTCATGATATGATCAAGCCATCGACATCCTTGTTCTTTTAAAAATCGTACTTCAAAATATGAAGTCGAAAATGGATTAACTGCGAAATAGTATACTTTTTGATGGTTCCAAATGGTCACGAGTAACTCACGACCATACGAATTTGCATAAACCAAAATATACAGTAGCTAGATGTATACGATTTTAATACGAGGATTATGACATACGTACATAGTATAAAGTATTTACAAGATTTTCTAAGATTTCTCATATACGGTTTGACGATCTGGTTCAGTTGATGCTAACTAAAGAGTCCAGGGAAAAAAAAGATTTGACGTTCTTGAATTTGAAGAACAAAAGCTAACCCAAGACAGTAAAAATAATAATTAAGGATGGTATATAACTAATTTTGTTTTTTAACCCTCAATAACGGATTTTATGTGGGTGGAGAGGACAACGTTGTATTTTGATTCTTCTAGCCAAAAAGGATCGATGGATTATTTTGAGAAAAATAAACGGAAAATAAAAATGTCTATTTCGTCCTTTAGGACAGGACACTGAAAAGCCTGCGTCGCCACGTCAGCGTCTCCCTTTCTAGTAATTTAATAGTATGCCAGCTAGGACCCAAATTTGCATTTGCTTTGACCAATCACTTTTCACTATTACTCGTTCGAGTTATACTTGCAACAACGTAATCATATCTTTGTTTTCAGTTTTCACCACCTAAGTCAAATGCTATGATAAAAGTAAATAAAATCTACTAAATCTATTGAAAAGTCCTACACTGTCCCATATCATACGGTTCTTAAAAGATCTCGGAAGAAGACTTGGGCATTGAAGAATCATAGGCTCCTCAAGTTACGAATTTGTATTCGGGCATATGGGCTTTTTCGGCTTTCACCTATGAAAACCCATAGAGTAGTATTGGTTGTTATTGTTAATATGAATGTCAACTATACGATTCTCGGTTTGTTTTCTTGTTTTAAAATTGTTGATTTATCAAATACATGAATGGAATCAGGATCAAACTTTGCCCTGCTTACTATTAGTAGGTTATGTTTTTCTTTGGATTTTAACATTTCTAGCAAAAGTACACTTCAAATTTTTCTTTTGAATTTGGCAGCATACTACACCATACCAAAATAAAATCAGATCAAATATTAGTTTTTAGTAAGGGCATGTTCGTTTGATCATTCAGCTAGATCATCTGGCTGAATCAGTTGAATGATGTTCGTTTAACAACAAAAATGAACAACATCCGGATGATCCATCCGAATGAGTTTTGAATTTATAGGCAAAAAATTTGATATTCAGATGGATCATCTGGCTGATCCGAATTGGAGCATCTCGATGAGAGATGATCCCTTCCAAATATGCAAATGACACTTAAACCCTTAAATATATTTACACAAGAAAAATAGTCATAATATTTTTTTTTTAATAAAAACTAAGAAATCAAAATTATCCACAAAATTACGTTTTCCCGTCCAAACCGTAAAATTACGTTATTCCACCAAAACCGTAAAATTACGTTTTTTCACCAAAACCGCAAAAAAAAAAAAATCCGCCAAAACCGCGAAAAAATAACGTTTTTCTGTCGAAATCACAAAATCACTTTTTTTTTTCTGCCGAAATCACAAAATCACGTTTTTCCGCCGAGACCGCAAAATAGCGTTTTTCCGCCGAAATCACAAAGTCGTGTGTTTCCTGCCAAAACTGCAAAATAGCATTTTTCTGCTGAAATTGAAAAATAGTGTTGTTCAGCCAAAACCGCAAAATCGCGTTTTCCGCCAAAATCGTGTTTTTCCGTCAAAACCGCAAAATCGCGTTTTCCGCCAAAATAGCGTTTCCCCGCCAAGACCGCAAAATTACATTTTTCCTCCAAAACCGCAAAATCGCTTTGTTCCGCCAAAACCGCAAAATCGCTTGTTTCCGCCAAAACCGCAAAATCGTGTGTTTCCGCCAAAAGCGTAACATCGCGTTTTCCCGCCAAAACTGAAAAATCGCGTTGTTCCGTTAAAACCGCAAAATTGTGTTTTCTTCCAAAAGCGCAAAATTGCTTTATTCCGCCAAAACCGCAAAAGCGCGTTGTTCCACAAAACCCCCAAAATCGTGTGTTTCCCAAAAACCGTAAAAATCGCTATGTTCCGCGAAAACCGTGGAATTTCTACCAAAGCCTAGAAATTGTGTTTTTGTGCTGAAACCGCAAAACTGTTGTTTTCCGCTTAAACCGCAAAATTTCTGCCGAAACCTAGAAATCACGTTTTTCCGTTTAAAGTGTAAAATCATATCTTTTCGACGAAACCTTGAAATCGCAGTTTTCTGCTTAAACCGCAAATTCATATTTTTCTGCTGAAATCACAAAATCGCGTTTTTCCGCTTAAACCGAAAAATCACGTTTTTTGCCGATACAAAAAAATCGTGTTTTTCCGCTTAAATCGCAAAAGTGATTTCGCATTTTTTCAGCTAAATCGCGTGAAGTCGTATTTTCCAACCAAAACTGTGAAATTTTGTTTTTCTATCAAAACCGCAAAATTACATTTTCATCAAAATTGTGAAATCACGCTTGATGACTTTGATATTATTTTAGATTTAATATTGAAATATTTAGAAAATTAATGTAGATAAAAAAAAGATTTAACAAATATATGGGTATTTTAGTATTTTTTAATTAAAATCATCTAAATAGACTATTTGAATAGAAGAACACATGAATCATTTAGCTGAACCATTTGAATAAAAATGAAAAAATCCAAACATCATCCAAATGGATCCATTTGGATGGATCATCTGCATGCGTCCATCCAGATGAGGAAACAAACAGGGCCTAAGAAGAAATCGAATTGAATCATTCTAAATTCTAATATGTCGGTAAGTTTTTTGGTTCTGAAAATATCCGGACCCAACTGAAAGTGAAACGATATCTTAAATCGGATCGGGCTGGGTGGTTAAGAGTTGAGACAGTTTTACTTTTAATCAACAGACTTTACGGACAAGGTGTTTAAAGCCCATACATTTTTTAGCTCATACTTAAAATCCCCCTTGAAATTGTGACGAAAAATAAATACTCTAGCGTCTCATTTTTCAAACCTATATATATGTAAATAAAGATTGCAAAAATATATACTCAAAAAAAATTACAAAATCAATTATTTCTTGATATTCATATTATCATCTGTACTTTTTAAAACCATGGTTATACGTATATATTTATTTATGGTACTGTATTTTAAACAAAATAATAATAAATATAATGAAAGATGTATTATTATTATTATATTACGATAAGAACCCAATCATGAATACTGTATATGTGAAAATTAGTTTTTAGTTTTCTAATAATTATTTGGTAAGTCTTGTTGCCCCATTTAAATTGAAATTGGACACTAGGTCCCCAAATGTTGGGCATGCCTTTATATGTTTTTACTTTTAATGACCATAGAAAAGTGTGATAACTCTCATGGGCCCCAAACTTCCTTAAACAATAGTCATACAAAAATGTTGAGGTTATAGGTAAAAAATTAGCTTTTCTCTTTTTTTTTTAAAAACTTCTTCTCGTTAATATGTTATTCTATGAATATCTACGATCTAAATATTAACATTATCATATGTAAATATATCTAACTGAATTTGTTTTTTTTTTCCTTCACTTATATCCATTGTAAGTTTTGTTTTCTTGGTTTAAATAACCCTTGTAACTTGTCCAAGTTGCCTTTGGTCAAAAAAAAAAACTTGTCCAAGTAAAATTCGCATTGAAAGTAATTTCCGATATGAACAAAGTAAACGACTTGTAAGTTGTAACATACGACAGAAAGTAATACGTATGGTCATACCGTCATACGAGAGAGAGGTATATACTTTTCTTCGTCTTCAAGTAAATAAAAGCTATATACTTTATTGTCCATGCAAATTTAAACGTTGTATGTGTACTGCCCCATCTTTGCAGCACTAGTCACTTTTTGTAGTGATATCATACTATATGTCTATATTAACAATGTAACTATAGTTTTAGTGACCACTGAGATTAAATTGCATTATTAAGATGATAAATTAGAACTCGACCAGACGTGAAAGTAAAAGAAAAATATGTACATGCATTGTCGTCGATCTTATCGTATCTTCTTTAACTTCTTGCTCAAAATTACAATATATTTGTCGGATTGACCCCAATATTTTCTCCAAAAAACATATTTGTTTTTTGCAATATTTTTTTAAAGCCAATGATGTGCAATGTTTGAGTATTAGTGTGATTTGGTAAATGACTTAAGTTTGAGAATCCGATTATTTAGGAATTTACACAGCAAATAGTCGCGTGGACATGGATGATTGCATATTTTAATAAGTATACCAGTTTATAATACTTATAGAAATTCGGATGCATTATGCTAAAAAAATATAGTAGTGCGTGTAAAAAATAATAAAATAATAGATTTTAACCTGGAATTCAAACTGGATCAGCTAAGCACTACAACTACAAGTATATTTTTTCTTTTAAAGATTCTTGAAACTCTCGGTTCTATAGACGACGATAGATAACGTGATCATCTCATGAACATATAAACCTAGAAGCTGTATAAGTCCTTAGATGACTTGAAATCTCTTTTCTTAAGTTTTGGTTTGCTTCTCATAGCAGCATATATCTCGCTCCATGAATGATCTCAATCGCAGAAGAGCATATACTTTTTTTTTGTGCAAAATTATAATTCTCATTAAAACTTAAATCGGTCTCTGACCGTGAGTCACCAAAGCGTTTTTTGCGATCCGATCTGCTAACACATTTTCATCTCTCGAAACAAAGTAAAAGGAGATTGAACTAAACGATCTGGCGATTTCTAGGATGTCGTGGTGAATCCCATGGATTTCCTTTGAGGGATTTCCTCTGTTGATTGCTTCGATTAACTTCTGTGAATCTGAAACGACTGATAAGTAGTTGTGCCCAATTTCTCGGGCTTGTTGGAGAGATCGGAGCACTGCCAGTGCTTCCGCCATTAGGGCCGATCGAACAGAGCACTCAGATGTGGATCCATGGCCTAGCTGATCTGCTCTTGCGTTGGTGAATACCCATCCTAATCCCGCGATTTTCGTCTCCTTCACCCATGCCGCGTCCGAGTTGCATCGAGTTGCTTCTAGTCGAATTGGGGGTTTGGTTACCAATCGCGGTCTGGCGCAGTTGGCTTCCTCATTCAATTGTGCCCTTTGCCATTCTCTTGCACTAGCCACTGCCTGCGTCATCGTCTCCTCCGGTGTGTATTGTCGTTCCGTCCCATTGAATGCTTTCCTATTCCGGCTTTTCCAGAGAGAACAGAGCACCCATGGTGATATTGGTCCGGATCCTACTCCCGTTGGAGGTAAACATACTAATTTCCTCGATTCTTCCATTCCCTTTCTTGTCTGTTGTATGGTGTGAGGATTCAGTAGATTTGTGCAGGGGATCAGTTTCCAGACCTCTTGGGCATAGTCGCACTGGAAAAGGAGATGTAGGGTCGTCTCTTCGTCTCCGCAATGTGGGCATCTCACCGCTGTGTTCACATTCCTGGCTCTCAGATTTTCCCCCACCGGTAAGGCTCCTCTCATAGCTTTCCACATGAAGATTTTTGGTTTTTCCCCTGTTTTTACTTTCCAAATCTCTTCGTTCTACTTGAAATCTTCTGGGTTTTGTAGTTGTTGTTCCTCCTGTTGTTCCTCACCTTCCTCTTGTTCCCCGGTCATGATTAGTTCATTATCAGTTTTGAGCCTTTCGTAGTATCCAGACTTTGCTGTGTAGTTTCCATCTTCTGTATGCAACCAAATTAGCTTGTCTGTGCCGCCTAATTTACTTGTCCTTAGCTCAAGTATTTGTTTCTCATGCGAAGGTAGGATTGCTCTGATTTTTTCTCTGTCCCACTCTCCCGTTGTAGGTGATAGTAGACTCTCCACCTTCGTCTCCTCGGCATGTTGCGGGTGTGGTCCCATTGGTCTGCTTTGCTCGTCCAGCGACAGCCACGGGTCAGTCCATATCCTCGTTGTTGTTCCATCTCCAATGGTCATTCCGAGGTTTGGCTTTAGGAGATCTCGTCCTATGCAGATTCCCCTCCACCCATGCGAGGCCGTGGTGGAAACATCACAGTCAAGGAAAGTGGTTTCATGGCAGTACTTGTTGAGGAGAACTCTTGCGAGGAGGCAATTCGGCTGGTTGAGAACTCGCCAGCTCAACTTGGCTAGAAGAGTATCGTTAAAGTTTTGTAAGTCTCTGAACCCTAACCCACCATCTCGTTTTGATTCCACCATTTTCTTCCATGAGATCCAGCACATTTTCTTGTTTTCCTGATTTCCATCCCACCAAAATCTTGTCAAAGCAGATTGCATCCGTTTATACATCGAGACGGGTAGTTTGAAGCACGTCATTGTGTAGGTGGGCATGGCCGCGAGGACTAATTTTAGCATAACCATTCTTCCTACTTGCGATAGTTGTTTAGATGACCAGCTCCGAGCTTTCTGTCTGATTCTATCCACAATCATGCTGAACAAATCCTTCTTCTTCCTGTCAAAATGTTCAGGTAGCCCAAGATACTTGCCTAGCCCTCCCTCCTTTTGAATTCCGAGTATCACTTTTGCCCTTTCTTTTGCATGATTGTTTGTTTTGGAGGAGAAGGTTATCGCTGACTTATCTTTGTTTATCATCTGTCCCGACGCTTGCTCATATTTGTGTATGATCTTCATGAGTTCGTGGCAGCTCTGGGGATCTGATCTACAGAAGAACATCGTATCATCTGCAAAGAGGAGGTGGTTTACTCTTGGACTTCTCGTTGCAACACGTATTCCAGATAATTTTCCAATCCGTTGGGCCTTGTTACATAGTCCAGATAGAACCTCACTACAAAGAATGAAAATGTAGGGTGATAGCGGGTCCCCTTGTCTCAAGCCTCTACTTGGCCTTACATGATCTTGTGCCGAGCCGTTCACCAGATAAGCGTAGGTAACTGTGCTTAGACACTGCATGATCCAGTGGATCCATTTTCCATCAAACCCTAGTCTTTTCATGATGTTTTTAACAAAACTCCATTCAATTCTGTCATAAGCCTTGCTCATATCTGTCTTCACCGCCATATAGCATCTGACCTTTGCTTTTGATGTCTTCAGGTACTGGAGAGATTCGTGTGTGATGAGAACATTATCGGAAATGGCTCTCTGCGGAACAAAAGCTGACTGATTCTCCGTTACTATCTCGTTTAGCACCGGCTGCAATCTCAATGTAAGTATCTTTGAGATGATCTTGAAGTAGACATTACATAAAGCAATCGGTCTATAGTCCGCCACCTTCTTTGGGCTTGTTATCTTCGGTATGAGCCTCACATGTGTGGCGTTTATGTTCGGTGGCAGGGTTCCCGATGTGAAGAAAGCTTGGATCTCTATCGTGACCTTCTCTTTTACTGTGTTCCAGTTTGATTGGAAGAAGCAGGCGGAGAATCCATCAGGCCCTGGGGCTTTCCCTGGGTGTATTGAGAAGCAAGCCGCTCTTACTTCATCCCCCGTCGGTGTTGCAGTCAGTCTCTCATTTATCTCCTCTGTGATGCAAGGTTCTAGGGCTTCCCTGATTGCCTCTTGGTTCTCTCCTCCTTGAGAGGTAAATAGTTCCTGATAGAACTTCGTTATAACGCTAACGATTTTCTCTTCTTCATGTACTGCATTATTTGTCTCATCCACAATAACTGAGAATTTGTTGATTGCCTGTCTCCCCTTTGCCGATGCGTGGAAATATTCTGTATTTTTGTCTCCGAGTGCTAACCAAAGTTGTCTGCTCCTTTGTTTCCAGAAGCTTTCTTCCTCTGTATAGGCCAGTTGGAGTTCGTTGTTGATCCCTGCGATCACTGCTTGATTTTCTAGAGGACTTACCATTGCCTCTTCCAAACTGTTACGTAAGTCTTCAATTAGCTTCCTACTACTTATATGCTTTTCTTTGTTCCATTTGATTATTGCACTTCTACATCTGTTCACTTTCATTTCCACTGTATCTCTGCCTCTTGCATTCCAGGCTTGAAAGACTAACCTCTGGACTTCCTCATTTGTTTGTAGTCTTCTGTCATAGCGGAAAAGGCCCTTTTTTCTCTTCCTCAGCGGCTCGAAAATGGTGATGATTGGTCGATGGTCTGAGCCTTCAAACTTCAGGTATTCACTTCGTCCCGTAGGGTACTCTTCAGCCCAAGCACTATTTGACATAGCCCTGTCTAGTCTACACCTTACCAGATGTTCATTTCTTTGGCCTCTCCAGGAGAGGAAATTTCCGGAGTACCTCAAGTCATAAAGGTCGCATTCTGACATGAAGGTCCTGAACTCGACAAAGGATCCTTCTGGGCGTGGCGGTCCTCCTCTTTTCTCTGAGGCATTGATGATCTCGTTGAAGTCACCAGTTAATAACCAGGGTTCAGATCTCTCTCCCACTGTTTCTCTTATTTCATCCCAAACCCTTTGTCTTTGTGTATGGTCCGGCTCCCCGTATACAAAGGTGATGAAAAAAGACTTTCCTTCCGTTTTGACCTTTGTGTCTATGAAGTTCTTGCAGGCGTGGAGCATGTCGACTTCAATTTCTTGCTTCCAGAATACAGCTAAGCCTCCTCCTCCATGCCCTTGTGGAGACACAAGTATATTGCCTGCGTAATTCATCCATTGGAATTTACTGAGAACGGTTTCATCTGTGTTTTTTGTCTCAGTGAGGAAGAAAATGTCAGGAGAGATGCTCGTGTAGATCTCTCTTAACCTTCTAACTGTTTGTGGGTTCCCCACCCCACAACAGTTCCATGCTGCCACTTTTAAGGAAGAGGATGCGATGGATTCTGAAAATCCACCACTCTCCCATTGTTTGCTGGTGTCACCGGCAGTCTTCCACTTGGTCTTGCGTCTGCCGCAGTGGTAGAATTGCCAGAGTGTCGTTGCCCTTGTGTATTGTTCCCATCCGGTATTGCGCCTGCTATTGCTTGTTGCCGTGGGGTAGTGACTCTACTTGTGGACGCTCGCGTATTGGTAGTCTGGATATTCTGAGCCGTCCTCTGGCGTGGTGAGTTCTGAACTTGGCATATCTTCCTCTTCATTAAGCTTGTCCCTTTGAAGCACATCGGGCTTTTCCCAAGTTTTTTCTTTACAAGCGGTGGTCTTCCTCTTCTCTTTGCGGCAGGTACCGGTGTTGGACTTTCTCCTTCAAACGCTGTCTCGTTGTCTAGGAGTTGGAGCGGCATTTGTTGGGGTCCCGTCTGGGGAGTTTGAGCCTGAGCCGTTGTGGTTGCTGCTGCTACGATTCTCGCCGCCGTGTTCGCCATAAGCCCTTCCATTTCTCCTTGTAAGACTCTTTGTCTGCGTGCCTCACTTTCCACCGGGTCGCCACAGTTTACGTAGCGAATGGTTACATCCTGGAGATCTGCCATGACCTCCTCTTCTGTGGGTACCCGTGGCGGTACCGGAATCCCCGTGAAGTCAAGAGCTCTTTCCAGCGTTGGATGAATGTTTGTTGGCGTCCCAGAGTCTTCTCTTGCCGGTGGTGATCTCTCCCTTCTTCTACCCGTCTCCCTCCAGATCTGTGTCGGGGTCCGCTGCCTCCTGCGTTCCTCTTCTCTGTTTCTCAGTGTTTGCCTTAGGTCTCCAGTCTGGGAAGTTCTGGGAGGTGTCTTCTCTCTCCAGTGGGTTCTTGGTCTCGGTCTATCTTCCACCGCTATGCCTCTAGGTCTTTCTCATGGTTCCACCTCCCTAGTCCTGAGTGGCTGGGCTCTGTCTCCAAACGGTTTACCGCATCGGTCATGTCTCTGGTGGAACTCTCTCTCTCTTTCGTTTCTTTCTTCGTATCTCTTTTCCGCGTATCTCCCTCGTGGATCTGGTTCTTTGACCGTCTCTCTTTCCTCTTGGCAGTTGTAGGTGTCATGTGTGAGTCTGTGGCAGATGCGACAGTGGTTCTCCATATTTTCGTACTCTAGGGTTACTATGGACTCCTCACCGCTCTCGTACTCTATGACTGTCTCCTTCACCAGTGGTTGGAGCCCATTAATGTGCACCTTTATCTTCGCCGTTGTAGAGGTTATCTCGTGTTTTATCATACCTCCCAGCTCTTCTCCAATACTGTAGAGTAGATATTTCTGCCAGTAGTGTAGCGGGATCCCTTTAAGTTCGATCCAGAAGGGGATGAAAGCTGGGAATGTTGGTGAGATTATTGGTTCCCATCTTTGTATTATCAGCATCCATCGTTCGTAGTGGTAGGGTCGGTTTGACAGGACCTTCTCCATGTCTTCCGCTAGTTCGAACATGAACTGGAAACAGTCTCTTCCAAGATCTGACCCTGTTACGTTCCCCTTCAGGGTCCATTTCCGGATGAGATAAGGTATCATGTTGCTCAGCCTTTGTTCATGCGGGTTCGTGAGCCTGCCAATCAGAGTAAGCTTGTGCTTGTTGACGAGGCTGGTGGTGTCAAGATGTGGAGCTTTGACCCTCAGTCGAGGTGGTGCGTGTTCTGCGACTCTCGCCTTTCCCTTATCTTCCCATGAGATGCGTCTCGCCATTTCTTCTGTGCGTCTCTGGCTAACGTTTGTCACGGAGGGTTTAAAAGTTTTGATGTTTTCCGTTGCAGGGGAGGAGACTTGCGCAGCCTGTTAGTGCTTGAGATCTGGGATATTGCGGCTTCTTGTCGATGGTTTAGGAGGCTTACCGGCGGCGTTGAGGACCCTCCGACACTAAGTCGGGGGTGGAACCCGGGCGCGTGAAATCAAGGTTCTAGGGTTTTTTAAAAACCTTTTACTTCAGGGAAGAACCGCCTGACAAAAGGAAGCTCGATAAGGACAGTAGTTGACTCTAAGGATGCCTCGCAAAGCGTGCATGGGAGAGAAAAAAGCCTTGGACGAATCTATTCTTTGTTTATATACTATAATATATAAATACGTATTGAAACGTGAATCAACCTAACTCTTACATATCCAGTTCAAAAGAATCATAGCTAAGAGCATGTTTATTGGTGATACTCAAATTGTCTCTTACCATTATTATAACAATAAACTTAAGTTAAGAGAGTTGAGAGATCAGGTTGTCTCTTAACATGATTAATACTCAAATTGTCTCTTAGCATTATTAAAACAACAAACTTAATATGAATCAAGATCAAGGTTCATCACACACATACAACAAAGCCTCAACAATAATCCATAATCCAATACTCGCTATAATGATACAGAAATTGACAACTTTCTAACACGAAACGTGAATCAACCTAACACCTATTTTTCATCTCGCTGATTTTTGGATCTCTAGCAAGTGGTGCGGTTTTGATTTGACTTGAGCGTCAAAGAATTTTCAGAACAACATCCATACGTCTTCATGAAGACATTTTAATTGTTTACTCCCGTCACAGATTCCCTTGAGTAGAAACGTTCAAAAAAAAAAATCAACTCGATCGAGGCTCAAAATCGAAACCAGCTTTCAACTTCAAACGACACTCCATGTATTTGCATATATTATGGTATTCCCTAGTGTCTTTTGTTAAACTGATCGCTGTGATTGGATTAATGTTATACAAATCGAATTACACTCTCTCTTTTTTGACGTCGATCGAATTACACTTTTTTTCTGTATGTATATACTCCAATTGATGATAGAATATATTTTTAGAATCCCAATAGTTTACTACCATTTAATTTTTTTTTTGATCTATCTAGTATTTTTAGTCAAGGGGATGCTGAACTAACTAATCATTGTTCTAATTACTTTATTGAATTGGGATTATGTTGAAAATCTCAAATTTTGATAATCTCATTTCATTATTGTTGGTATCTTTTTAACATTACGCTTAAACGACAAGGCACTAACTCCCCATGATGTAACCTCTCCAACAATTATGTTTCCAAATTCCCCGGCCCATTGCGGTCACCAAAAGCCTACTTTTCTTCTCGTATTAATTTCAATACTTAAAAAACAAAAACAAATCATTCAAAAGATTCCACTTCCTTTTGATAGATATCGACATATTTTCGGTAAGACGAAGGAAAGCAAAAAGTAAGTAGCGTTGAAGAATTTGGGTTTTTGACTTAAGAGTATCAATTATATGAGAAAGTTTTTAAATTATCAATTAAAGTCTAGTGAGTAGTGACATAGTGTTCTGTATTGTGTGAGGAAACCGGTCGGAACAAACAAGCAGCCTGAACAATTGCGGTAATGCAATTAATACACACCAAAAAAAAAAGAACAGTATACGATTACAAAAAGTTAGAAATTGTAAAATTGATACCAATACTTCTTCCCTTTTTTTTTGTGATTGAGGGAAGCCATATTCAGAACAGTATATCTTTTACTGCTGCTATCAAAGTTTACCAATCAAACCAACATATGTATATTGTGAGCATTAATGTTGTCGAGGAAAATTTCATTGTTAGGTAGGGGCCATAATGATATGGAAGTTATCTTCTTCTTAATTAATTGTTATTTTTAAATCCATGATAGTTTCTTTCCATTATGAACAAATTGTTCTCCAATATAGTTTTTTTAGATTTTGTTTTTATCGATTTATTTTAAATTTCCATCAACCGAAAGAGCTTTTCTTTTGAATTGCTTTATTTCCTTTTCATGCTCTTTCAACCGTCAAAGTAACGTCTCTAGTCTCAGCAGCTATTTTTCCTACTTCAGTCAACAGTCTTCTTCTCTCTTGTGTTTTCTTTTTCTTTTTGTATGAACCTCTTGCCTTGAGGAACCAGTAGAGGCAATTATCAATTTATCATGGTTAAGTAACTGAAAACGAAACCAATTCTATCATCAATATGCACGCTGTTTTTCTCAGCTTTCTTTTTTAGTACATCTTATGGAAAATATTTTATGGTTAATTTCATTGATTCCACATTAACTTTAGTTTTTTTCTATATTGAAAAGTAACCTTGAAAGAACATATGGAGATTTCATAATCGTTTGACAAATTATACTTGTTTCAGTAGACAATAGTGAAATAGATGTTTGAAGATCAGATTTCAATACGGGTTGAAAAAAAAAAATTAAATACGTAAACACACAAAAATAAAAAAACAAGTCTAGTTTACGTTCTGTGAAGGTGTATGTGTAACTGATGGAAACAGAGAGGGAAGGCAAATATATATGATAAAATATATGAAAGTGGTTGTTTTTATAGTATAAACTCTAAAGTTTTTTTTCTGTTTTAACGAGAAATTTCCCACTAAAGTTTTTAGGAGAAAAAAAAAAATCACTTTACTATGTATAAATAAGTAGGTACCATTAGCTTCACCTAGATCAATTAACGTTCATAGACGATCAATAAAAACTGAACTAGTATTTCATTATTTATACAGTTAACAGGAGTAGATAACTGTATTGGTTAAAAGAGAAGCTAATGATCAGTCTCATGCTGAGAGTCGCTTTTTGACTATATGTATAACTACCTTCTTGGGATGATTAAAACTGTGAGGTTAGAATTTAAACAATGGGTTAGTTAGGGAATTAGAAGGGAACATTAAGTCATGGAGAGGTTACAAATATATATATATATATATATATATATATATATTAACAAGTAATCAATAGGGTTGTTGTAGAGAACATTCTTAATTTGACTAATTAAGGACATCTCCAATATATTGCCCCATATTTTGCTCCAAAATAAAGAAATCTCAAAATAGGGTTAGGTTTTGCTCAAATGTATTGCTTCATTTTTTCTTTCAAATTCTTTTCGAAAAACCTTTTATTAATTACTAAATTTACATTGTATATTTATATCTATTACAAATTGCCCCATATAATTTTTTTCTTCAAAACTTTCACAATTAATTATAATTATTTAAATTAATTATGAAAATATTAATAATACATTATTACAAGACTAAAAATAACAATGTAAATTTGAAGAAAAAATATATATGGGGAAATTTGTAATAAATATAAATATACAATGTAAATTTAGTAATTAATAAAAAGTTTTTCAAAAAGAATATTCTAAATAAATGAAGCAATACATTGGAGCAAAACCCAACCCCATTTTAAGATTTCTTCATTTTGGAGCAAAATATGGGCAATACATTGGAGATGCCCTAACTGCCACTGAGTTTTATAATTCCAACAAGAGTTGACCTATGGTAAAAAAAATAACATTCATGATGGTGTATAAATTATATTGCACGAGCACTCTGTACATGAGATTTCGTAAAAATGACTTATTCAAGGTCCCATATGGTCATCTAAGTATATGATTAGATATATTGTTAAAAGATATAAGTGAAGATACCTTTATTGATCAACTTAAAATTCAAAGCGAATTTTGAAAAAAAAAAAGGTTTTCATCGAAATGAAAACTAAAAACAAAATAACATAAAATAAGGATTCAAAGTTTTGCTCTCTTGCTCTTAGCGATTATTTGATGATTTTGAAGTTATGATGAGTCTTTTTATTTACAAAGAGAGAAATTCGGTTCCATCTAAGTACATACTTCTTATTTATTTATGAAATCTTCATTTTGATGTTTATCTAAAGAGTTGCATCTATTCTCAAAGTTTTCATTTTCTCAGAAGAAGTCAAAACAATATGGGCTTCTTCCTATGTTGTTTCTACGTGGAAATGCATTTTAAGGAATGTGTTCATATATGCCAATTAGAAGAGGATTATTTAGTTTGGCTATGCGTTAACTGATTAGCTGTTTCTACATGGGGATGCATTTTAAGGAATATATGTGTTCATTCTACTTTTAACATATATGTCAACTAGTATTTCTGCCCGGTGCTATGCACCGAAAAAATTATTTAATTTTATTGTATTTCTTCAACCAAATAGTAGTTTTAGCACAATTGATTTTTTTGTAAGGGAGATAATAAAGTGTTTCAATCCATAAATACCTTTCCAAGAAAACTACAACACATTCTATACAAAGAAGAAGAGTTAAAAATCTGATACACCTAATCTCTTTTAATTGTAAAATGACAAAAGTTTAGATTGTAGAAAACTAAATAAAACCTTTCATGCATCAAGTCATCAACGCAAACATCAACTAATTAAGGCTTAATGCTGAAAGGAAACTTAGAAATAGAAAATAACATAACAATATATGGATTGAGCAACGATAAAAACTTGGGTGGTATGGTATTGATCCAAAGATAAAAACTTGAGTTCACGTGAAAAAAAGGAAACATTTACAACTTTTTCGGTGATGAAATGAACATACAATAAATAGAAAAAGATGCACAGTAAAAAATCAAGAAGAGGAAATAGCAGAATATTGATGGTGAAAAGGTAAACTGTTTAAAGAGACAAAGAACAAATTATGATTTGATATAACTCGGGCAAAACTTCTCTTTTTTACGGTAGTTCCGAGTTGGGTATATCGCTGTCATGATAATGAAAGACCATTTTCGTTCATGACCTGCAGACAAATCAATAAACCACGTTATCAAAAGAAAACCACCAAGGTAATCTCAACCCTTGAACTGGGAAACGAAGACCAGCTAACGATACTCAAGACTACAAAAAAAACAGACTTTTGTATTTAGGGCAAAAAATTGTTTTCTTGGTAGTATCACAATAATAGAAAGAAGAAGAACTTGTACTGATATGTTTTTAAAGCTTTCTGCAACAGCTTAATTCAAATCCCAAAGATCAAAAATGCGAAACACCAACGATTAAAATTGTCACAGGAAAAGAAAGCAGGAAATGTAGAATACCATTCGTTTAGAAATAGAGAAAGTTTGATGAGCCCTTGCGTTGTTCTATAATCGTGTGTTGATAGTTTCCAAGAACCTAAAAAACAAAAAAAAACACATCGTCAAACTTATTTTGACATGATTTTCATTTGCACACCAATTTAAGTGATCTGATCTGTATGAACTCAGCATAAAACCAAAATAAATTGTAACATTAAAACAAAGTATATATATGGGTATTAGATAAAATGGAGCTTTAATATTTTGAATTTGACCCAAATAAGGTTTTGTGTCTCCAATTTGATCAAAATTGATTGCAGTAATGGTTAAAAAACATATATATATCTATATAAGAAAAGTACCATACCAATGAAAACATCATCAACATTAGCTTAACGATTGTGAGTTTGCGGTTCCCTGGTAATCGTCAAAACTTCAAAATTCGTGATATCACGACAATGATCCTTCTTTCAATTCTTTTTTGAACTTTTTAACCAAACTCTGTTTTACAGAGGTTTGAATCATATCTTCCTGTCACATAAACCATTGTAATCGAAGATTAGATTTGTAAACAAAAGAAAAGCATACTATAACAAATCAAGCCATCGATATACTCGTGGGTACCTTTTTGCATAAACGCCAGAACTCATAGTTGACTTCCACGAAGATGACTTCCAAGATATATAAACCCTGCAAAATTAAAAGAAAAACGGTTACTAAACCAAAGTTAAAAGAACCTCTGGCGAAGGATAGAACACACTAAAACAGTTTGGTAAAAATAGAATTAGAGGAGAGCTCATATGAAGTTGGAAGATGATTACCTTGACGTGGAATAAAGTCAGGTTTATCTTGTTGATGAAAACCCCAAATTCGAGACATCAAGGCCATGATTAACCTAAGACATGTTGACAGAATCAAACAGTAGGTAAATGAGATAAAGCACTGAAATGAGTATGAAATAAGATGCCTAAGTAACTTGTGAAACTGAGAAATAGAGATAAACAGAATTAGAGATCAAAGCCACAAAATTTTAGTGATGAATCTGAGAAAATGTAATATGAATCCAGAAATTTCTGGTCATATGGAATATGAGACTGATTTAAGAAATCGAAGAGATGAGAGAAAAAAGGATTCAATGGTGGTGAGATTCGAGTAACTCACAAGGGAAGTAGAGTTTTGCTGAAGGATCAAGCTTCAATCGGCGTTTAACTGGAAGACGTGATCTCACGACATATGACATTCGTCGCGGCGGGTTGATGATGGTTTTGACCCAATCCTTCGACGACAGGAGGTCCGTTATAGCCAAAATGGCGAGATTGGTGAGTAGCCATGGAAGAGGAGGAGGGAGAGCTAAGCTAGCTTGACCATTGGAGTTTCGCAAGGGAAGGCTTGAATAACCCCCAACGTCGACCATCGGAATCCGACTTTTCCTCCGTCAAAGCCCAGAAAATTAATCTGATTTGTAAAGGAGGAAGATGAATTTGGAGATTAAGAAAAATAAAAACACAGAGGGTGGTTTCGTTTGTCTCTGCAGATGTGAGAGATTCATGGTAAAAGTGGGTTTTCGAGTTTAAAGATCGTGTGGTGAAATGATAGCGGTTTCGAGATCGTGTTCTCGTGGAGGAGAAAAAGAAATTTCGGGAAAAAAAAGGAAAATAAAAACATGGAAAAAACCATCGAAAACAAAATAAATAAGAAAACAAATTCCAATGACACGTGTCATTCATATAAGCCATGAGGTGACTTCTGTTTTATTGGTATTAGATTAGAAGAGGACTACTTAATTGGGCTATGCGTTAACTGATGTTCCTCGCTGCCATGGTGATAACCAAGTCCTTCTTCTCTTGCAACAACGGTTTTGTTGGGCAACTTTCTTGAGAATGTTAAATATGTACGTAAGGTGTTATAAGTAAATCATTCTTTATATACTAATTACAAATCCAATTACATAAAAGTTAAATAGTCAAAGAAAACGAGTAGCTACCTGCCGATGCATTTTTCCAATTACGGAAAAATCAAAGATTTGGGATTAGAGAAGAAGAGATCTGTTGAAACCGACACATTCGGTCCAAAACATTTCATATTATTACTATAGTTTATTAAAATACTAAAATACACAAATCAAGCCTTTTTTTTTATTCGGTCACTATTCCTACATCTGAGATCATAAAAGATTGAGAAAATCTACAAATTTATTTTATTATACAAATACTAAATTTTATTCATTATTAAAACTAATTTTTTCCAACTTTGTTTTTTTGCATAACCAATAAGAATGATGGAAAACGGCAAAAGCTATAAGTGGTTATCGAAAGAGTCGACTGTTGTAGTTTGTCGGAAAGACACTCCACCAAATAAATACAAATCTTATCACTAGTGGAAACTGTCGAGTGTGGAGTTCTTTTTCCTTCTAATCAAACAATATTATCTTTCTAAATTCTTCCAAAATAATTTTGGAGATTTGCTTTTGCCAATTAAAGTTTACAGTGATTATAATCTGCTCCAGTGAATTTCGAAAGCATTCAAAAACGATCTCTCTACCAACATAGTTAAAGTTTTATTCAACAAAGACTTCTTTTATATAATGCCAAAACAGAAATGATAAACGTAAAAAATATATTGGTGAATACTTTAGTAGGAGTATTCAGTTTATTGTATGTAGTAGTATACTAGTATCTAACAATACAGTGTAGTATTATTATACATCTCAGTTTTTTTTCTTTTTTCTACTGTGGTTTGATAAAAGGACAAAGTTCGCCACGATTCTTTCATTTGATTTCGAAAGCTGTGGGCGTTGTCTTTTATTTTTAATCTTTACCCTTTCAATTTTTCGTCTTTTGTTTACGAAAATAGCGTGCACTGTATTGTTTCTTTCAACTTTGTCTTTTGACTAGTGATGACGAGACATATTGTGCCCCCATTATATATTTGTGTTTATTTTAAGGTAGTTTTTCTTTATAGTTTGTGACCTTGTAGAAAAACAGTAAAAGAAGATTTTACAACGTCTGATTAAAAAAAGTTTGGATAACCTTGATGATAGGAATTTTATAGAAAAAAAAAATGTATCTACTTATTTTACTTTTTATGAAGAAATTCATCACTTTTATTATTAAATACAAACAAAATATATATTTTTCATTCGACGAAATACTCCTATCAGCTTAGCTATTACATACAATTTCATCGAGTACTCATGTGTGTGTGTGTATTTAGTTATTTACTGTATTGTCTACTCCAAGACATTCTCATTTTACACTCTCTCCAATTACTCCAAGACCTTCTCATCTTACGATGTCTCCAAGATTTCTTAAGCAATGAAATTTAGTTTTTTTTTATCTATTAAAAACTTTGATTCTGATTTCGATTGTTTTTTTAATATATATCTGCTCAATGCATATTGGGACCCACGTGTAAAGCTGTGAGAATATCAATTATCAATACACAAAAGAAATAGAAACAATGATTACATGCACAAGCACGAGGCCACAAATTTCCTTATCCTATACTAATACATGTATTATATACACATTTATATAAAGATGAAACCATTCAAAAGAGAAACCATCCTTTAACCCTATACAATTACAAACTATCAGAATAAACTCACACAAAAAAAAGAGTAAATTAGTATAAAAATTTATGGTTCCCAACTCAAAATATTTGTATATACTCCAGTACTTTATATCCCTTTTTGGGATTCTTAATGTTTCACAAATTTGGTAAATTTCATTTTTAAAATTCATTGCTTTTGTCGGCATCATTTTAAAATCCTTAAACGAACATAAACTAGCTTAATACAGTTGAAACGTTCAGGCCATAAAATTAAGTACAACTTGTAAGGACTGTTCTGTTCTCGTTATAAAAAAGACATTTTATTCTACTATACTCTCTACTACCAATGAATAGAGGACAAAAAAAAAAAGAAAACCAAAAAGCAAAAAAAAAAGTAAAATAATACTCAGACCAATGAGATTAGATAAGGAGTAAAAGACAAAAATAAATTAAACTAAAACAAATACCATTTGGCGCCAAAAAGGGAAAAACTAAATGGTCGTGTCACGTGATGTTTATTTGCTCTACGACCAGAAAAATCTAAAGTGTTTTCCAAATCTCCAGGCCCCACACTCAGATGTGCTGACTTTTATTTTTCTTTGTCTTAATTCTTTACATTTTAAAATTTAATTCACTTTTCTCAGTCTATAAATCTCCACAGATTCTTCACTCTTCACCTAGGCTCTCCACAGTTTCTCGATAATTGACGATTGAGTCTCAGTTCGACGGTTGAGATCAAATCGCATACATAATCCACATTCCAAAGGACACGCGACGTGGCGAGTGGCGAGAGATGAAAGAAAGTAGCCGGAAGCAAGGAGCGGCGTCACCGTGTGCGGCTTGCAAGCTTTTGCGGCGGCGGTGCGCTCAAGATTGTGTTTTTTCGCCGTATTTCCCGGCGGACGAGCCTCAGAAATTCGCCAATGTTCATAGAGTGTTTGGTGCTAGCAACGTTAACAAGATGCTTCAGGTAATTTTATCCTTCTTCTTAAAAACAATAATAATCAAGCCGTGCTTAATCGTTGGGTTAGTTTGGATATTTTAGATTAAGATAAGACATTTCTATCATTTTCATAACTTTTGTTGACAACTACTACATGGTCCGACCCATGTATATTATATAAAATAATTCAAGGAAATTTAAACAAAATATGTGAATTTTCATTTTATAGTGAGTAATAAACACAAATGTAGTATTTTTTCAAGGTTTTATAAAATTTCAATGTTCGAGAATTGAAAAATATGTTAGTGATATCTACAATTGTTAGCTGATGTAGAATTCAACCACTTTTGCTTTTGTTAGTTGGCTAAAGTCAATAATGACATTGTCTACATTTGTTAATTAGCTACTGTATAATCTATATGTTTCAACTCTTGCAAGATTGTGTTAATGTAATGTCTAACAAGTAATTTTATAACTCCACAGGAGTTACCGATCCACCAGCGTGGAGACGCCGTGAGCAGCATGGTCTATGAAGCTAATGCAAGAGTTCGTGACCCAGTGTACGGTTGCGTAGGGGCAATTTCGTCCCTCCAGCAACAAATTGATGTGTTGCAAGCCCAACTAGCTCTGGCTCAAGCTGAAGTGGTGCACCTACGTGTTCGCCACTCCACCAACTTCCAGGGCCATGGGCTATGCCCGGATAGCCCGAGTAGCAGCGGCTCACCTTCATCGAAGCAAGTCAGTCCACAAGACAACAAGGGCATGTTTAGCCATATGGACATGGTGGATGAAGCCAGTTTGGGAGAGTCTATGTGGTCTTGCTAGTTATTGTTCTTTTCTTTTTTTTTTTTCCTTTTCTTCTTGCCACTGCATTTCCTCTGTTTTTTTTCTTGGGAAATTTTCGGGATTATATATTTTAATTAGGGCCTAGGGGTAGGAAATGAAAATACTCTGTTTTGACTACACTACAAAGTGAAACTATTAACATGATATAGACACATATATTATATATATACCAAGTATAATTTTATATATTATAAATCTATCTATATAAAAGTGGTATTTATCTGTATTTCGGGGTATTTTGGGATTTTGTTTAGGACCTTGGACCAGGATCCATGAGAGCTATTTCCAGTCGAGGAGAGAACTTTGTATTAACCTAATGTAAACTTTTGTACTTGTGCAATATATATTTTTCTGTTAAGACTTCATCAATATACACATAAATTAAATATTGAGTGAAATTTTCGGATATGGAGTTGACTAAGTCTCGCTTTGTAGTGATCACAAAAATCGGCTAATCAGATAGCATTTTGGATATAGATTTTTCCGCAAGCTAAGTAGGGAAAAATTAACTAGGAAAATGTGATCTACAGAATGTCAGTTGAAACATGTTTTTGGCAGCTTGCAATATCCAGAAAATATATGAAAACGATGGCTCAAAATTACAGTTCTGTGAGACCTTATTTGGTAAAGCAAATCAGGCTTAACCGAGAAACGAAAGATCAAAAGGTAAAAAGCTTAAGTGATTTTCTCAGTGAGCAGCAACAAGAGTGACTTTAAATGTCTGATCTGGCATGTGAGAATTTACAGTTTTGTTCGAGCTTAAAAGATCCAGTTTTCTTTGCGAGATTTGTTTAAGTTAGGTATTCCGTATTCCTAAAGACCGAGGTTACGTAAAAACAAAATCAGAGGTAACAAGAATACTAAAAAATGTTTTTGATATAATAATAGTTTTCTCCCAAGTAACATGTGTAACTCAATAAGGAGAGGATAACCAGAAAAGAACAAAGTGATACAGGTTACACGAAACCTGTAAATGATAAGTCACACTCACTGCCAAAATAGCTAATTGGATTCTAAGAATCGAGACCTGTCCCTATTCTAGGTCAGCTAACAAGTCGTACTTGTTCTTCAACAATGGAGCAGAGTTGCCGAGATTTTGTGGCTTTGGCAGTTTTGGCATTTTCCTAATGATCGGGTTTGGCGTTTCCCAAATGTTGTTTAGGCCTTGGCTTGACTTGAGGTACTTTGCATCGTTAACATGAAGATCTTCTACGACGTCCACAAAGGCATAAACTCTATGATGGTATTCTCCAATACCTTGGATTTCAACACGTTGGAAGTGCTTCTTTCTGGATTGAAGTAGAAAACATTAAGTCGTTAGATGATACACATTATTCGACAAAACTATTTCACCTGTAGCAGTCATTCCAACGACAGAAACATTGTGGCGATCAACGTTTTTAATGTCATCCGGCGGCAAAGTGTAGACATATTTCGACCATTCCTGTTTTTCGACATCCGCTAGAACCCACAGACGCAACTCAGCACAATCACAATTAATCACACACTCAATCAAACCTAATTTACCCTTATAGTTTATCCATTTAGTATCCCCATCACCATATGGATTTACATATATATACGATTCGCTGTCAATAAAACTGAACTTCTCAGACCTAACGTCAAAGCAAACTAACACTTGAGAATATTGATTGTTTTCACCACGCGGTTTAGCTAAGTAATACAAAACCCCATTGATGCATATCCCTTTATCGTTATCCAAAGGATAATGGGCTAAGGGACATTGGATCTTCCGCCACATGGTTTCTCCGGTTCCTAATGTCAGAACATTATGATCACCATCACCAATGAGCAATACCTTGTGTTGCTTGGCAATTGGATCAAACCCTATAAGCTATCAAACACTATAAAGCCATCATACCCTCTCGTATTAGGTAAGCTCAGATACTGTCTCGATGTAGGGTTAAATATCACAGGCACTCCATCATCACTCTTTTGTGAGATGGGCACAGAAGAGAAATACATCAATCCAGAGGTGAGACCAGAAAACTTTCTACTGATGCCTCTAGTGAGTTGAGAGAGTTTCATATGAAAAGTCGCCTCTAGAGATACCGAATTCCCATATGGATTCTGAAGCTGAGGCGTTGAGAAGAAGCTCCATCTACTCTCTCGATTGAGAGCGAATAAGAGACGTGGACGAGCCCGTGACCTGGTCAAGAACAACTCTGTGAAATATGATGACGAAGCATGGAACCCCATTGCTTCGACACGCAACGAAACCTCCCTACTGACTTTGCCGGCAATCTCGAGAATATCTCCAGAAGGAGATCATTAGGGATTGAATCTGAAATTTCTTCTGCTCGATTCATTGATCCGAGGGAGAAAGAAAGAGCAACACAAATCACACGCAGAGACTCTCTAATATAGAGTCGGCGCTAACCTAGGTCCCCATAATGTGACATTAGCGTACCCAAAGTCGGTACAACCTAATCCAAAAAAATACCAGCTCCGGTATGGAAAAGATTGAGCAATTTGGTCTGGTTTTGTGGTTGCTGTATCGAAAAGAGTAAATAAAATATTCTGTGATTATTGTTTGAATACTCTGCTTCTTCTTCAGGTTCTCTCTCTTACGTACACTGCAAGAAACCGTTTTGGTGCTAAATTTTCTTTCCGCGTTCTTGATGCAGAGCCAAGAAACCTCATAACAAAGCCTTTTCTCTTTAGCAGCCCAAATTAAATAAAATGCAGAAAGAAAGAAAGAAAGTTCGAAGCGTCTCATATCTTGTAGCAGAGAATATTTAACATTACAATGCCATTACGACAGGATTAGAAAAGAGTTTACACTGCAGGTAAAATAGGGTTTCTATGAAAATGCCATTAGGACAGGATAACCAGAAAGAATAAAAGAGAAGAAGCTAAGCCAACAGAGGGATACTGCTCACACGAAACCTGTAAAAGAGAAGTCACACTCACAGCAAAAAGAATGCAAAACTCTCCTCGCCATCCTTCAAAGATATGAGCATGCTTGAGGCCAAATATCACAAATTAAACCACATGATACTTATAATATTTTATCGAAGAATATGGAGTCTCAATATACCTGCAAAGATAGAAAAAAATGATAACAGTTGTGGTGGAGAATGTTCAATAAGAGTCTTCCAATAAGAGTCACTAAAGAGGTATCGGAACTGGCGCAGGCACAAATTCTATCACGAATATGGAGAATGAGGATTATATAATCTTCTATTTCAAACATTATCATAATACAATTTTTTTTTGGAAAAGAAACGAATTGAATGAATGTATAAAGCAAAGACACCACTATTAGGCGAAAGAACAAAGCTATAAATTTTGCTTATCCCGATAACTCTGGAATCTATTAACAACATGTGCTGTTTTGTAGATGTTTTAAAGATTTCTCAAGAATCACAAAGCAGGAGGGAGCTGCTTGGTCTCTGCATTTCAGGTCAGACAACGTTTTACAACCAAAGTATTTGCTTAGTTTTGTTAGTGATATCTATCTTAGTGAGACCAGTAAGAAGAGCGGCTTATAAAGTTCTGATCTGACATGAGAAGTTACAGTACGTGAGAAAAGTATCTTCAGGACAATGGATCGTCATGACCTTTTCCCGATGATGGAGACAAGGCAGCATCAATATGAATGCATGCAAAAACTCTACAAATAGCTGTTTTTTATTCATTACCATGAAGAGGATATTACTATTGATTTAGAACTAAGAGAGATGGAATTAAATAGTAGAAAAAAACATGATTAATCAGAAAAATAAACGACAACATGACTCTTCCACACGCCTCTCTCTGTCTTTATCATCCTTACTGTCTCTTTTCGTTTCTCCAGCTGTGTTATCTCCTGCCCCTCTCTCTTTCCTCTTCCCGATGTTGTGGTCTTGGCCTTTTCGTAACGATGTCTAGGCTGCGATCTCTACACAAGCGCTTGACTTGTGGTTTTGACCTTTTCCTAATGATGTTTAAGCCTTGGCTTGACTTGAGGTATTTTGGGATTTTGTTTAGGACCTTGGACCAGGATCCATGAGAGCCATTTCCAGTCGAGGAGAGAACATTGTATTAACCTAATGAAAACTTTTGTACTTGTGCAAAATATATTTTTCTTTTAAGACTTCATCTATATACACATAAATTAAAATATTGAGGGAAATTTTCGGATATGGAGTTGACTAAGTCTCGCTTTGTAGTGATCACAAAAATCGGCTAATCAGATAGCATTTTGGATATCCAATTTTCCGCAACTAGCAAAATGTTATCTACAAAAAGTCATTTGAAACATGTTTTTGCCAGCTTGCAATATCCATAATATATATGAAGATAATGGCTCAAAGTTCCAGTTTTGCGAGACCTTATTTGGTTAAGTAAATCAGACTCTTAACCGATAAACGAAAGATGAAAAGATAGAAAAGTCTAATTGATTTCTCAGTTAGAGCAGCAATAAGAGTGACTTTAAAGTTCTGATCTGGCATGTGAGAATTTACAGTTTTTTTTCGAGCTTGAAATATCCAGTTTTCCTTGCGAGATCTGTTTAAGTTTACGTAAAAACAAAATCAGAGGAAACAAGAAATATACTAAAAAATAACTTTTGAACTATCATTAGTTTTCTCCCAAGTAATGTGTAACGATAACCAGAAAGAACAAAGTGATAAAGCTTACACGAAACCTGTAAATGAGAAGTCACACTCACAGCCAACATAGCCAATTGGATTCTATGACCAAATTAGCCAAGAACAAATCGAGATCTGTCCCTATTCTAGGCCAGCTAACAGGTCGTACTTGTTCTTCAACAATGGAGCTGAGTTGCCGAGATTGTGTGGCTTTGGCAGTTTCCTAATGATCGGTTTTGGCATTTCCTAATGATCGGTTTTGGCATTTCCCTAATGATGTTTAGGCCTTGGCTTGACTTGAGGTACTTTGCATCGTTAACATGAAGATCTTCTACGACGTCCACAAAGGCAAACACTCTATGATGAGGCATCTGACGATAGTATTCTCCAATACCTAGGATTTCAACACTTTGGAAAGTGCTTCTTTCGGGATTGAAGTAGAAAACATGAAGTCGTTTAGATGATACATATTTATCCGCCAAAACTATTTCACCTGTAGCAGTCATTCCAACGACATAAACATTGCGGCTATCAACGGCTTTGGCTTTAATGTCATCCGGCGGCAAAGTGTAGACATATTTCGACCATTCCTGTTTTTCGACATCCCCTAGAACGCACAGACGCAACTCAGCAATATCACGATTAATCACACACTCAATCACACCTAATTTACCCTTATAGTTTATCCATTTAGTATCCCTTTTATAACTAAATGAATTTACAAATAAAAAACCAAATGATTCCCTGTCAATAAAACTGAACTTCTCAGACCTAACATCAAAGCAAACTATTGCTTCAGAATATTGATATTTTCATCATACGTTGCAGCTAAGTAATACAAAACCCCATTGATGCATATCCCTTTATCGCTTTCCAAAGGATAATGGGTTAAGGGACATTGGATCTTCCGCCACATGGTTTCTCCGGTTCCTAATGTCAGAACCCTATGATTACCACCACGTCCAGTGAGCAATACCTTGTGTTGCTTGTCAATTGGATCAAACCCTATAAAGCTATTAGACCCTATCGCTCTAGGTAAGCTCACATACTGTCTCGAAGTAGGGTTAAATATCACATGCACTCCATTATCCCACTCTTTAGGTGAGATCCGCACAGAAGAGAAATACATCAATCCAGAGGTGAGACAAGAAAACGTTGTACCGTAGACTAAAGAGAACTGAGAGAGTTTCATATGAAAAGTCGCCTCTAGAGATGTTGAATTCCCATACGGATTATGAAGCTGAGGCGTTGAGAAGAAGCTCCACTCATTGTCTCGATTGAGGGCGAATAAGAGACGTGGACGAGCCCGTGACATGGTCAAGAACAACTCTGTGAAATATCGATGACGAAGCATGGAACCCCATTGCTTCGACACGCAACGAAACCTCCCTACTGATTTTGCCGGCAATCTCGAGAATATCTCAAGAAGGACATCATTAGGGATTGAATCCGAAATTTCCTCTGCTCGATTCATCGTCCGAGGGAGAAAGATAGACCTAACACAAATCACACGCGGAGGCTCTCTGTCTCTAATATAGAGTCGGGATTAGGGTACCAAAGTCGGTACATATAGAGTCGGTACAGCTTAATCCAAAAAATACCAGCTCCGGTATGGAAAAGATTGAGCAATTTGGTCTGGTTGCTGTATTAAGGGAAGAGTTAACAAAATATTATGTCCTCCACTTGTCCCGATTGTGTTCGATTACAGTATTTGAATCTGCTTCTTCTTCAGGTTTTCTCTCTGACGTACACTGCAAGAAACCGTTTTCGGTGCTAAATTTTCTTTCCTCGTTCTTGATGCAGAGCCAAGAAACCTCATAACAAAGCTTTTTCTCTTTAGCAGTCCAAATTTTATAAAATGCATGCAGAAAGAAAGTTAGAAGCGTCTCATATCTCGTAGCAAAGAATATTTAACATCACAATGCCATTAGGACAGGATAAGAAAAGAGTTTACACTGCAAGTAAAAAAGGGTTTTTATGAAAATGCCATTAGGACAGGATAACCAGAAAGAACAAAAGAGAAGAAGCTAAGCCAACAGAGTGATAATGCTCACACGAAACGAAACCTGTAAAAGAGAAGTCACACTCACAGCAAAAAGAATGCAAAACTCTCCTCTCCATATCCTCCAAAGATATGACTTATGAGCATGCTTGAGGCCAAATATCACAAATGAACATAATCAACACAGCAAAAACTCTTGTGCCTCTCCAGGTGTTGACACCTGAGCTTTTTTAAGCTTTCTGAGAGTGACACATCAGTAAAAACAACTAACCAATAGAAACATTTGGATTAATACCAATCAGCTTTTTTTAAGGACAGCTCAGCTTATTTTCTTCTCTTACCAACTTTTATCACCCGACCCGACGATGCAGAAAAGGCGATGGCCCAAATAAAAAAATCGGTTTCATAATCAATCGAAGCTGATCTCCTCTGTCAGGTGGGGAGAACCAGGTTGTCCGGCGAGTCAGCTCGGAGGCGATGGAAGGAACTGATCCGATGCGAGTTGACTCGGTCAAGGGGATCACAGAATGAGACAGTCTTACCAAAGCAGAGAAAGCTTCTAACAGCGGCGACAAACTATCTGAGGGAGAAACTCGAGGTGAACGAATCCGCAGGAGAATCGTCAGATGGATTATTAACAAAGATGCGGTGGATTTGGCCGAAGATCAAACATCAACATCACGTGGAGAGGAGGACACACGTTCAATGACGCGGCTCTGGAATATCGGATGCTCTCCAGCGAGCGGTTGTCCATGGCGAGAAGAAGAAAACATAAGAGGAAAAGACATGTGAGGTAAGTCTTATCAAATGTTCATTTTCAATTGTCGTATTTAATTAGAAACTACGATATCTAACAGCTCGAGGTAGTTGTTCATCAAAATGATTGGTTCTTTTATATACAGCAATGCAATTTAATCTCTTCTTGATTGATGTCTTTGTTTAGCCTAAACAATCACCTTTTTATGTATGTCCGTGTATCATCTTAGTGGTTTAGATAATATGTATGGTGGTAGAACAGAAGATGAAATCTGTTCCTATCCATATGCTGAAAACTGCACTCCAAATGTTTGATTAAATGCTTGAAACTACAAAAAGTGTAAACATCATTGCAGACTTAGCTACGACACGAACAAAGCACTTTTTTATATCAGCTGAATTATCTCTCTTCTTGCTAATTTGTTTCATTTGTTTGTCTTGCAGCTCGAAGGACAAACACACTCTCGAGTAATCAAAAGCCAAAACAAAGGCTGGACCAAGGAATTTCATGAGACCTCCATACATGGGACAAGCTCATGGGTTTCTGGTTGGTCCGAGTCCAGACTTTCCTGCTAAGATATTGATTCCTTGTCAATGTGTTTTGAAGAGATTGGCTGATAAAATTAAATTGACTTATTCTTGATTGAACAAATTTGGCTTTAAGATAGAATTCGACAATTCGTTTTCGGTGCATGATTGTTTCATGCGGCATGTGGTCTTAAGTGGATTTGTGCATCTAAAAGGCCAGCTTCGGAGGAGATGGTGACAAATAAATTTTCAAAGGGTACTTCAAATCTATTGCGTACTAATAAATTAATAATAATGATTCATAAACATAAAATAACTGTTTTCAAAAGATACTACATTTTTCTGACTTTTAGTTTTAATTATGATCATTAGTGTCCAAAGTAAAATTTAAATTATATAAAGAGCAACAAAATATCACCGTAGCAGAGCGCGGGTCAAAATCTAGTACTTATAATATTTTATCGAAGAATTTGGAATCTCAATATTCCTGCAAAGATTAAAAAAAAATAAGGGAAAAAATGATAACATTTGTGGTGGACCGTGAAACTCACTTTTTAAAGGACCTAATATTTATCTGTCCGGCATAGTACTCTTTGGGCCAGACCAGCGGATTTGCTTGACACCTCTACCTTAGGATTAATGGGCTTGAACCCATTTTAAACAGAATCTATTGTGGACCCTTCCCTACAAAAAACTGTCGGGTCGTTTGGGATATTTTCAGGGACGATGATGAAGCAGCAAAAACCTAATTCACAGAGACGAGATAAATCCAAATCCTGGTCCGAGCTTCCTCAAGATCTCTTAAGTTCAGTGTTGGAACGCCTTGACTTTGCTGATTCTCGACGAGCCGAATCCGTATGCTCGTCTTGGTACTCCGCTGCGAAACGATGTGTGGCGAAAAAGCACATCCCTTGGCTGATTCTCTTGCCCGACGAAGACGACAAGATCAACAACCATTGGTGCAAGCTGTTCAATCCTGGGGAAAAAGACAAGCTTTACAAAATCCGATACGAGCATGTCGAATTCGCAAACAGTTATTGCTTAGCAACGTATGGTCATTGGCTCTTTATGGTGGATTTTTGGTATAATCTCTACCTTTTGAACATATTTACCCACGAGAGGATCGATTTACCTCCGGTGGAGTCACAACTTGGAACGATAAAGCTGGAGCGAACCAGAAAAGGTTGGTTTTGTATTTCAAATGGCCATCGCAAAAGGAATTGCAAAGATATTGATATACAATCACCTGTCTTTTGGATTGACCAACACACCAAAGAATATCTGGTTTTATGGGGATTTGGCCAGTGGTGTGTGTAGCTTATTCCAAGAAAGGAGATGAGTTCTGGAACCAGATTCAGATTCCCGTAGTTTATGGTTGTTCTCACATGGTTTACAAAGATGAAAAGCTTTACTACCTCCTAAACGACTACATTGGTAGTAATGGTTTTATCAAAATATTGGACTTCTCCGGAGAGATTCCGCAAGAAACCTTTACCTGTGGTGGTGTTCCTAGCAACAGCTCTTCACTTCATCCAACAGCAGGAGATTCATTGAGGATCAACGGCGCAAAACTTGTAGTCACAGCAACAGGAGATGTCCTCTATGTTGAAATCTGGGCAACACCTTTCACTTCACTCTGGTCCTTCCGCGTCTACAAGGTTTATTCGTCAGGTTTGTTTAACAAGTATGAACAAGTTGATTCTTTGGGCAACGAGGCGATGCTTTTTGATCTAGGCATCACTGTGCTCGCTAATGATGATGACATTGTGGGTTTTAAGAGAAATTCTATCTACTTCAAGACTACTTGTCATGAAAACAACACTACTCAGATTTGTCTCTTCAATTTCGAGACAAAGGAGATGGAGCCACTCCACACGTTTGATTGTTCGTCCCAACAACAACTCGCCAGAGCTCTATGGTTCCTACCAAGTTTCAAGCAGACATAATTCATCTCAACTATGTTACTGTTTATTTGGTTTGCTAAAATCCTCTGCTATAACATCACAACTGCTATGCTGTCATCTGGTTTGGTTTGGTTGATGACTTCCCTAATTATTATAATGTGAAACATAATATATAATAAAAAATCTAGGGGGAATTGCCAAATCTAGACCACAATTTCATTTTTTTCTAGTCAACTAGACCACAATTTGAATCAAATGCAAAACTAACCTCTTTGGGTAGTAAAATTACCCCACAAGCCCTCATGACCAAACAAAAAAACGCATGCCTCGATTACGATTATAACCTCCAGGCATGTAGATCTACCCGTAGATCTACCTGGTAGACAATGTTAGAGGTCTACCTCGTAATAACATCTTAAATTTTAATTAATAATTCAATAAAAAATATTTTTATACAAAAACAAGTATGAATAATTCTAATATAGACATTATCATCTACAAAAAATATGAATGCATACAAATGAATCATTTATAGATAAGCAAAGACATAGGTTAATATCTATAAAAATGTTTGAGGTCTACCGAGTAAGTCTACTATATCATTAAATTTAAATTTTTATTATAAAAATTGAAAAAAAATATTTTGAGGAAAATTATTTATACATAATTACAATACAGACAACTTGCATCTATCTAAAATATAATTTCATAGATTTGAACCAACTGAACTATGAAAAAAACAAATTAGGTTAAAAGCCTATAAAACCATGAGAGGTCTACCAAGTAGTCTACTAAATAATCAAATCTTAAATTTAAATTAAGAAAAATTTAAAAAATAATTTGAAATATTTGTTTCACAAATAACGAAATAATAGACATTTAACATATATTAAAAATAAAATTTCATAAAAACTCATGAATCTATAAATATCATATGTAAATAGTTCATAAGGATAAGAGTTTGAGTAGATTGTTTAGGGTTTAATGGTGTAAGTTGTAGGGTTTTGAAAAAATTTAGATGAATAATTGTTTTTGATTGGTTTTACGATTCAATGTTCGTTTATTTGTAATATACATTGTAAATTGACAATATGGCAAGCAAATCGTTGCAAAATTGCATCTAAATTGTTCGATTAGGGTTTAGGTAAAGTAGATTTGAGCTTTAACAATAACTCTCTTTTCTCAAACGGCGCCTCCCTCTCCTTGAACCACCACCATTCATCTGTGTCCTCCAGATCCAGATCTAGAACCGCCGCAGTTGGCTTTTTCCCCTTCAGATCTGCTCAAGAAGACTTCTCCTCTTGACTCCCACGACCCTCCCTCCCGCCAGCTCTCTCCTCCAGCAATTACGGGGCGATTTCCAACCGTTTCATAAAGTATCAGAAGCTGATTTTGGTACCATCGGAAAGATCATTTTCTCAGCTTTCCATAACATCCAAAATTACGGTAAACCGAGTTATATTCAGAGAGTTATGGATATTTTTTCTTGTGACGTCAGATCTGTTTTAGGATATCAATTTATTTTTGTGAAGGTTTTGTGAAGCAATTTCCTGACGATTCGTAAGTCACAGGAGTAGATCTACATGCGGTTTTGAAGATCTCCAACCCAACTTTTCAGATCTTCTTTCAGTTGTCCATTCAGAGGTATATTTCATCTGCAAATCAGCTCCAAAGTTTAGAGAAATTCTCTATTTCTGTTTCCAGAAAAATCTCAATTTCTAGTCTTATTTCTTTCATTAAACTTAAGATTTGTGTTTCATTACTCTGACTTGTAGCAGAGAAGGTCTTACTACAGAAGCTGCTGATGAGAGGCCTCTCCTCTATGGGAATAACAATCTCCAAAAGAAAAAGGTTTTGTAGACTTTTTACGTAGACCTCTGGTGTGGACCTTCTACGTAGACCGCTGGTGTGGACCTTACTACGTAGATCTTCATCGTCGACCTTATTTTTAATCTATCTTTTTAAAGTAGGCCTCATGTTACTTGTTGGATTTCAGTTTTTCTTTTCAATTTTGATTGTAACACTTTGCTTCTCTAATAAAAAACTTTCATTATTATTGTCATGATCTCTTTTGATATTTGCACTTATTTGATACACAAATTTTGTTTATTGAAAGAGATCAATACATGACTTATTATTAATATAGGTTTTGTTTCTTCAAAGAGATTAAGTCTAACTGAAAACTTACATAAAAAACTTGAAAATAGCACAAAGTAGATCTACTACGTAGATCTCAGTTGTAGATTGCATTTGTAGACCTTATTATCAGTCTACTTCTCCGAATTAGTCTACCTTTAGTTTTCAGTCTATCTCTGTGTTGTTCATCTACATCAGTTCAAAATCCAATTTTATAAAACTCATGTAATAAAAAAACAGAAACCATGAACACACTGTGAGTTGTCATTAGCTTACGCAATGAAGGCGGATATGTCCCGGTTGCTGCACTTCGAACAACTATAAACTCTATCAAGCTATGAACCTACCCGTTGGTGATGTACATATGAGGAAAGTCTGAGGGTATTTGATGGAGCATCACATTGGGTAATTGATAAGATAATTCCACCATGTCTGCTTCCATATCCAACATATAGTCAGCTTGTTCCATTCTAAGAGGCTCCTTATGTGTACAACCATCCCGTAAGTAGAACATTCTCCCTCCTTTTCCTTTGTCCATCTCAAAATGCCATGACTTGTCTTCCATCACCATCCATTTTCCATAAACGGAAGCTAGACAAACCATTACCTGCAACAAAAATAAACCAGATCACAAAATGGATTAGTAGACAGAAGGTGTAGACCGACAAGGTAGACCCACAATTTGGTCTACCAGAAAAATAAGCTAGTTACCTAATTCAAAAGAAAACCGAATATAACCTTAATTACGCCGAAAGAACATTTCAAACTCACACAGAAGCAAGTAAACAAATAAAAACAACTAATTGTTCGAGAAAATTTCAAAATATTTGATATATTGAAAGGAAAACGACATTTTAAAAAACACATAATAATAGACCTAAAACGTAGACGTTCGGAGTAGACGTTCACGGTAGACCTCCACTTAGGTCTGCTCCACGTGGACGGCCACGTGGAGGGTTAGTTTTGCAATTGATCGAGAAAAATGTTTTTTTGGAGGTCTACCTTGTCGGTCTACTACACGTGGAGGGTTAGTTTTGCAATTGACCAAACGTTGACTTTTACACGAGGTCTACCGTATACGTCTACCAGAAAACGTAGACCTCTCAATCGGTCTACCAAAAAAAGTAGACCTCTGAATTAGTCTACGCCTTAGGTCTACCTACCGAAAACAGTTTGTTTTGCCGTTGACTCAAGTTTGACTTTCCTCGGGTAGACTTCCGTGGTAGACCTCAGTTTTTTGCGTTGACCAGTAGACCTCAACTGCGGTCTACCGATGGTAGACCTACACGGTAGACCTCAATGTCACAAAATCTCTCCTTTTTGAGGAAAGTCAAACTTGAGTCAACGGCAAAACCAACTTTTTTTTTTAGGTAGACCTAAGAGGTAGACCTCCGAAAAACATTTTTCTCTATCAATTGCAAAACTAACCCTCCACGTGGAGTAGACCGACAAGGTAGACCTAAAAAAAAACATTTTTCTCAATCAATTGCAAAACTAACCCTCCACGTGGAGTAGACCTAAGTGTAGGTCTACCACTCATTTTTTTTGTTTGCAAAGGAAATGGCACAGTCAACTCTGCGTTGACCAGTAGACCTAAACTCAGGTCTACTATGTAATGGTAGACCTACAATTCAGTCTACCTTCGCAGACCAAAACTGAAATTCTTAGAATTTTGAAAGAAAAGTTACTTGGCCGTCGGAGAAAGGCTCTTCGAGGGCTGATAACTTCAATTTATGTCTTCAATTACGAGTTCCAGTCATCACTGTAAGCTAAACAATTGGAAATGCCAAGACCCAAGATTTGAGTTTTCTTTTAAGTTTTTGGGATGAAAATGGAGAGAAAATGGAAAATAAGAGTTTGTGAGATGAAAGAAGGAGAAATGCTAGCTCCAAAGTGAGTTTTCAGAGCATTAACAGCTCCAAATTGGGTAAAAATGGTGGTTGTCAACATTGATGATATGGCTTTTTGGCAATTAAGTGTAGAAGATGAGGGGTGTTTGGTCTTTCAGCAGATCTGGTAGACCTAAATATCGGTCTACCAATCGAAAAAGTAATGGCATTCGTAATTAATTGGAAAAAACTGGACAAACTTAAAATGAAAAAAACAGGAGGTTAGTTTTGCATTTGACCACAATTTTGGGTCTACATGTGAAACAACCCCAAAAATCTATTGGGTAAGATTTTTTTCTTTAAGTTTAGGTACATAAGCATCTCCACTGGTGAAACCAAAATTTTGGTTCTAAAACATTTTTTATTACTAATTTGCACACATATTTATGTTAAAACTTTGGTGTGGTTTGTTAATTTTTTTCTAAAATCGGCTAATCAGATAGCATTCTGGATATCCAATTTTCCGCAAGTAGCGAAAAATTAACTAGCAAATGTTATCTACAAAAAGTTACTTGAAACATGTTTTTGCCAGCTTGCAATATCCATAATACATATGAAGATAATGGTTCAAAGTTCCAGTTTTGCGAGACCTTATTTGGTAAAGTAAATCAGACTCTTAACCGATAAACGAAAGATGAAAAGATAGAAAAGCCTAAGTGATTTCTCAGTTGGAGCAGCAATAAGAGTGACTTTAAAGTTTCTGATATGGCATGTGAGAATTTACAGTTTTTTTTCGAGCTTGAAATATCCAGTTTTCCTTGCGAGATCTGTTTAAGTTTACGTAAAAACAAAATCAGAGGAAAACAAGAATACTAAAAAATAACTTTTGAACTATGTTTAGTTTTCTCCCAAGTAATGTGTAACGATAACCAGAAAGAACAAAGTGATAAAGCTTACACGAAACCTGTAAATGAGAAGAAGTCACACTCACAGCCAACATAGCCAATTGGATTCTATGACCAGATTAGCCAAGAACAAATCGAGACCTGTCCCTATTCTAGATCAGCTAACAGGTCGTACTTGTTCTTCAACAATGGAGCAGAGTTGCAGAGTTTCTGTGGCCTTTCCCAAATGATCGGTTTTGGCATTTCCCTAATGATGTTTAGGCCCTGGCTTGACTTGAGGTACTTTGCATCGTTAACATGAACATCTTCTACGACGTCCACAAAGACATAAATATTCTCATGATAGTATTCTGCAATACATAGGATTTTAACACTTTGGAAAGTGCTCCTTTCAGGATTGAAGTAGGAAACATAAAGTCCTTTAGATGATACACATCTATTCGAAAAAACTATTTCACCTGTAGCAGTCATTCCAACGACGGAAACATTCTGGCGATCAACGTTTAATATGTCATCTGGAGGCAAAGTGTAGACATATTTCGACCATTCCTGTTTTTCGACATCCCCTAGAACGCAGAGACGCAACTCAGCAATATCACGATTAATCACACACTCGATCAAACCTAATTTACCCTTATAGTTTATCCATTTAGTATCCCTATAACCATGTGGATTTTGATACATATGTGATTCCCTGTCAATAAAACTGAATTTCTAGGACCTAACATCAAAGCAAACTATCACAGCATTATCTTGATTATTTTCATCATAAGTGTAAGCTAAGTAATACAGAACCCCATTGATACTCAAAAATAACTTTTGATGTAACATTAGTTTTCTCCCAAGTAAGTACATGTAACACAATAAGGACAAGGATAACCAGAAAGAACAACGTCATAAAAGCTAACACGAAACCTGTAAATGAGAAGTCACACTCACTGCCAAAATAGCTAATTGGATTCTAAGAATTGAGACCTGTCCCTCTTCTAGATAACAAGTTGTACTTGTTCTTCAAAAATGGAGCAAAGTTGCGGAGTTTTGGTGGATTGATTGGCCGATTTGCCAGTTTGGTTGCCCTTTCCCAAATGATCAGTTTTGGCGTTTCCCTAATGATGTTTAGGCTTTGGCTTGACTTGAGGTACTTTGCATCGTTAACATGAAGATCATCTACGACGTCCACAAAGGCATAAACTCTATGAAAAGGTTTCTCATAATAGTATTCTCCAATACCTTTGATTCCAACACTTTGGAAAGTGTTCCTCTCGGGATTGAAGTAGAAAACATTGAGTCGTTTAGATGATACACATATATTCGACAAAACTATTTCACCTGTAGCAGTCATTCCAACGACCGAAACATTGTCGCGATCAACGGCTTTATAAATGTCATCCCGCGGCAAAGGGTAGACATAATTCGACCATTCCTGTTTTTCGACATCCTCTAGAACCCACAGACGCAACTCAGCAAAAGAAAACTTAATCACACACTCAATCACACCTAGTTTACCCTTATAGTTTATCCATTTAAAATCCCTATCACCGTATGATTTCCCGTCAATAAAACTGAATTTCTCGGACCTAACATCAAAGCAAACTATCACATCATAACGTTTGTCATTTTCATCATAAGTGTCAGCAAAGTAATACAAAACCCCATTGATGCATATCCCTCTATCGCTATCCAAAGGACGATGGAATAAGGGACATTGGATCTTCCGCCACATGGTTTCTCCGGTTCCTAATGTCAGAACCCTATGATTACCACCACGTCCAGTGACCAATACCTTGTGTTGCTTGTCAATTGGATCAAACCCTATAAAGCTATCAAACCCTATCCGTTCAGGGAAGCTCACATACTGTCTCGATGTAGGGTTAAATATCACAGGCGCTCCATCATCACTCTCTTTTGGTGAGCTCTCCACACGAGAGAAATAGATCAATCCAGAGATGAGACAAGGTAACGTTGTAGGGATACATCTGAGTTGAGAGAATTTCATATGAAAAGTCGCCTCTACAGATACCGAATTCCCATATGGATTCTGAAGCTGAGGCGTTGAGAAAAAGCTCCACTCCTTATCTCGATTGAGGGCGAATAAGAGACGTGGACGAGCCTGTGACCTGGTCAAGAACAACTCTGTGAAATATTGATGACGAAGCATGGAACCCCATTGCTTCGACACGCAACGAAACCTCCCTACTGACTTTGCTGGCAATCTCGAGAATATCTCCAGAAGGAGATCATTAGGGATTGAGTCTGAAATTTCTTGTGCTCGATTCATTGCTCGACTCATTGATCAACAAAAATCACACGCAGAGACTCTCTAATATAGAGTCGGCGCTAACCTAAGTCCCAACATGTGAGATTAGGGTACCAAAATTCGGTACAACGTAATCCAATATATACCAGCTCCGGTATGGAAAGGATTGAGCAATTTTGGTCTGGTTTTGTGATTTCTGTATCGTAGAAAGAAATGTTGATGATCCTCCTCCACGGCATATAAGTTGTGGGAAACTCGCCAATGAGTAGTAGCGATATCTTAGTAAGCACATGTATCTTCAGGACAATGGATCGTCATTCTTTTTTCACTTGATTAATGGAGTTTGAAATATGGTGTTATTCAATTAAGGATTTGCATAGATCAATTAAAATCTTGTGTTATTCAAGTTTAACAGATTTTGTTCAATGAATATGATATGAAACAGTTTGATTCGATTTGAAATTACATACATGTGTAAATTATAACAATCAAAATCTAATCTTTTATTCTCAGATTTTATAATCAGTTTATTATAATTATAGAATTCAATAGTTATCAATGTTGATAACTCTTATCATTTCTACTCTTCTTCTCCACCAGCCAAACGTAAAGTAACTTTAACACTTTCATCACTTCTTCTCCGCCAGCCATACGTAAGGTACGACTTTCGTCAAAATTCATATATAATCAAAACCTCTTATATAAAATATATTATACATGGATTATAAAGTATTGAATATGGGATTTCATCTATTTGATCAAACGTATAAACTATTAATTTTACCTTTTTATTGGACTTCTTCGTGAACGTAGATTTCCATCTCTCTTTTTTTTACTTTTACAGCAAATTCCAAATTATTTATGTGTTAGAGATTTTCTTGAATTTGGATTTAATTACTGTTATTGATGGTGATCTTATATGAATATTTTGTTGTAGATTTTTTTTGTTGTATATTGTAGAAATCAAATCAAATCAAATCATACCGACTTTGTAAATATACTGCCATAAATTTTAAATTTTAAAATCTAAAAAAAACTCATATACCTGATTCAATCAGGCTGATTGTGAAATGAACAATAAATCATTCTAATTGAACCAAAAAATCTCTTGTATTTCAAATCTGTTGGAGTTGATTTAATATATGAAACCAATAACACCCCGTCATCTCTTCACCAATGTCAAGTAAGAGTAGTGGATAAATGTTTGTTACATTAAAACCTTATGAGATATGATTCTGAATCTCCGAAGAACTGTCCTTGAACGTTTTAGACTTTATCATTACAAAAAAGGGGATTTTATGAAAAAAACAAATTACGATAAGCCAACATAATGATAGAACTCACAACAAAACAAGTAGATTAAAGTCGCATCAAAGCCAGTAGTAAAACTCAGCCACGGCTCTAATACAATATGAGCGCACTGAATAAAAAACAGAGATAAATACAAGTTGCATTTAAATAGAGCTTTCTTACTGAGCAAGGGAAGCAATCAGGTTTTGACAACGACAAATTATTCATCATCATTAAGACACAGAGCATCAAATTTGTTAATGCTCTCAAACGTACCACGGTCTTTTTGCATGCGAGCTTCAGATGACGTTGCAGCAGATGTAGTCTTTATAACATTAAACTTAAGATCCTCTACATGGTCTAGAAAGACGTAGACTCTATTACTACAAAATGCCAACGCTTCTTGTTTACATCGGAATTCAACACTATGGAGAGTGTCACTTTCCGGATTGAAGTAGAAAACACAAAACGCTCCACGCGCATGGTAAGAAGTCGACAAAACAATTTCACCTGTTGGGGTCCCTCCGACAATTGAAACATCGAGGTAAGCAAGTTTACTATCTATCAAAGTGTAGGCATGTTTCGAAAATTCCTTTTTCTCGACATCCTCTAAAACCCACATACACAGCTCAAGGTTATGGCTCACACCATCAACGTGAACATAATCCAAATCAACCCCACCTAATTTACCCTTATAGTTTATCAATGTAGTATGCCTTTTACAAAAAGATTGTACGTCTATAAACTTAAATTTCTCAGACTTAACATCAAACCAAACTAGCACACTAGACTGCGTTATACGATGGGACCCTAAATAATACAAAACCCCATTGATGCATATCCCTTCACTGAAAGGATAATAAGGCAAAGAGCATCCGATAGTCCTCCACTTCATTTCTCCAGTTCCTAATGTCACAATACAGGGGTAATAATAAGGAGCCAATAACAATACCTTGAATTGCTTGTCGATTGGATCAAACCCTAAAAAGCTTCTCGAGTTTGTTGGAATTATTCTCAATTTAGGTAAACTCGCACACTGTCCTGTGCTAGGGTTACAGATCACATGCGCTCTACCATCTTTTGAATGCCACATCAAACCAGAGGTATAGCCCCAAATGTTTGGATACATGTCTCCAGGGAGCTTCATATGAAAATCGGCGGCTATTACAAGAGATTACATCCCATATAGATTCTGAGGCTCAGGCTGAGGCGACGTAAAGATTATCCACTCACCTCTTCGAACTCCTTGTCTGGCTTGTAAGGCGAATAAGAGACGCGGACAAGACAATGACTTTTTCAAAAACAACTCTGTGAAATATGGACGGCGAAGCATGGAACGCCATAGCCTCGACACGCAACGACACCTTGCGATTGAATTTGAAGGCAATCTCCAGAATATCTCGAAAACGATATCAGTCGGGATAGAGTTCTTGTTCATTTTCCTTGTGTTTGCTAGTGGCGTCGAAGATAGATATCTCAAATCGAGTTATAGTGCATCGATTACTAAAACCCGAATTCTGTTGTAAACCGAAATGTCGAACCGGGTTGTTTTCTGTTTCAACCTTTGTATTAATTTAAACCGATTTTCGGTTTGGGTTTATTATTATATATACTATAAATAACTAAAATACCTAGGGCGTTTATTCCGAACCGAACCGAGGTTTGGGTAGCTTGGTTCAATGTCCGTTTGAGGGCATGAACCGATCAGCAGCGTTTGTTATTTTGTTGGGTTATCGGTTTATTTTGAGGTTCAAACCGACCAAAAACTGAAACCGAGGTCTTTTTGGCACCGACAAAGGTAAAAAAAAAGAAACAGAACATGTAGCTAAAACATGTAACAGAAAAAGGCTTTTAATGAGTCAGATAATTTTTTTTTACACAGAACTATTCATAATTTTTTTTTTTGAATATCACATATCTTTAACTAAGAAAAATATACATAATCTTTATTTTGAATATGACATAACTTTAATTATATTCTGAATATATAATCTTCTATATCAAACATTATTAAAATACAAAAAAAATATGGAAAAGAAACGAATTGAATGAATGTACAAAGCAGCAAAGACACCACTATTATGCGAAAGAACAAAGCTATTAACAACATGTACTGTTTTGTAGATGTTTTAAAGACTGCTCAAGACTCACAAAGCAGGAGGGAGCTGCTTGGTCTCTAGTTTTCAGGCCAGACAACGTTTTACAGCCAAAGTATTTGCTTAGTTTTGTTAGTGATATCGTAGTGACTTGAAGTACTTTGCATCGTTGACATCAAGGTCTTCTACATAGTCCACAAAGGCAGAAATACTATGAGGATTCTCATCATAGTATACTCCAAAACCTTGCAGAGCGTTTCTTTCGGGATTGAAGTAGAAAAACGGTTTAGATGTATCTTTCATCGACAAAACAATTTCACCCGTACATGTCACGAGTTCATTATCTGTCAAAATATAGGCTTATATTCCGAGCATTCCTGTTTCTCGACATCATCTAGAGTTATCCATGTGTTGCCTTCGATCGGGTGCTGAATATATTACCTGAGAGTTTTAAACTGTTACTTATGATATCAACCTTAAAAGCTTTGGCATGATAAACGAGAAAAAGGAGTTTTATGAAGACTCAATTTAGGATAAGATATTAGTCTGCTCCCAGGTAACGTATAACACAATTAATGCATGAATATGAAAACCAGAAAGAACAAAAAATGGCTAGGCCGACAGAGTGAGACTGATAAAGCTCACACGAAAAAACATCATCATCACCTAAAAGCTTTGCCATCATCAAAGTCAGTCGAAACATGTTTTTTGCCAGCTTGCAATATCCAAATTTTCGTACGAGACTGGTTAAATTACGAATTGAAAACGGCGGTTACTTCCGGTATTGAAAACGACGGTTAATTTCGTAAAAAAAAAAGACAGAGAAGACAAGAATACTATAGACAATGGGTGTTTGCGAGACCTTATTTCTTTTTTTTTGGTGAAGATTTGCGAGACCTTATTTGGTAAAGTAAATCAGACTTCACCGAGAAACGAAAGATCAAAAAGTTTAAAATAGCCTAAGTGATTTCTCAGTGAGAGCAGCAGTAAGAGTGACTTTAAAGTTCTGATCTGGCATGTGAGAATTTACAGGTTATTTCGAGCTTGAAATATATCGAGTTTTCCTTGCTAGATTTGTTTAAGTTTAGGGATTCCTAATAACCGAGGTTACGTAAAAAACAAAATCATAGGAAACGATAGTACTAAAAAAGAGCAAATATAACTTTTGAACTATCTTTAGATTTATCCGAAGTAATGTGTAACACAATAAGGACAAGGATAACCAGGAATAAACAAGCTAGTGATAAAGCTTACACGAAACCTATAAATGAGAAGTCACACTCAAAGCCAAAATAGCTAATTGGCTTCCAAGACTAGATTAGCCAAGAACAAATCGAGACCTGTCCCTATTGTAGATCAGCTAACAAGTCGTACTTGTTCTTCAACAATGGAGCAGAATTCCCGAGATTTTGTGGCTTTGGCAGTTTTGGCCTTTTCCTAAAGATCGGTTTGGGCATTTCCCTTAATGATGCTAGGCCTTGGCTTGACTTGAGGTACTTTGCATCGTTAACATGAAGATCTTCTACGACGTCCACAAAGGCATAAACTCTATTCCCATGATAGTATTCTCCATTAATACCTTGGATTTCAACACTTTGGAAAGTGCTTCTTTCTGGATTGAAGTAGAAAACATTAAGTCGCTTAGATGATACACATCTATTCGACAAAACTATTTCACCCGTAGCAGTCATTCCAACGACAGAAATATTGTGGCGATCAACATTTTTAATGTCATCCGGCGGCAAAGTGTAGACATATTTCGACCATTCCGGTTTTTCGACATCCGCTAGAACCCAGACGCAACTCAGCACATCAAAATTAATCACACACTCAATCAAACCTAATTTACCCTTATAGTTTATCCATTTAGTACCCCTATAACCATATGGATTTACAAATAAAAAATCATATGATTCCCGGTCAATAAAACTGAACTTCTCAGACCTAACGTCAAAGCAAACTATCACATCATAATGTTGATCATTTTCATCATAAGTGTAAGCTAAGTAATACAAAACCCCATTGATGCATATCCCTTTATCGTTAGCCAAAGGATAATGGGTTAAGGGACATTGGATCTTCCGCCACATGGTTTCTCCGGTTCCTAATGTCAGAACACTAAGATCACCACCACATTGAGTGAGCAATACCTTGTGTTGCTTGTCAATTGGATCAAACCCTACAACGCTACTAAACCCTACAAAGCTATCAAACCCTATCGGTTTAGGTAAGCTCACATACTGTGCCGATGTAGGGTTAAATATGACAGGCACTGCATCATCACTCTCTTCTGGTGAGATCCGCACAGGAGAGAAATACATCAATCCAGAGGTGAGACAAGAAAACGTTGTACCGATGCCTCTATGAGTTGAGAGAGTTTCATATGAAAAGTCGCCTCTAGAGATACCGAATTCCCATATGGATTCTGAAGCTGAGGCGTTGAGAAGAAGCTCCAATCCTTGTCTCGATTGAGGGCGAATAAGAGACGTGGACGAGCCCGTGACCTGGTCAAGAACAACTCTGTGAAATATTGATGACGAAGCATGGAACCCCATTGCTTCGACACGCAACGAAACCTCCCTACTGACTTTGCCGGCAATCTCGAGAATATCTCCATAAGGAGATCATTAGGGATTGAATCTGAAATTTCTTCTGCTCGATTCATTGATCCGAGGGAGAAAGATAGACCAGCACAAATCACACGCAGAGACTCTCTAATATAGAGTCGGCTCTAACCTAAGTGGCTAAGACCCTATGTGAGACAAGGTGGTTGTCCCGCACCTTGTGCGGTACAATATTTTTTAATAAATTAATTAAATAAAGATAGTATAATTTTTGATTATACTAATTTTTTGTTTTCGCTAACTTCTTATTTCTATATTTTGATGTGTCTTATTTTTATTTTCTCTTTCTCGTTCTTCTATATAATATTCTTTTTCATTCGTTTAGGAGATACAAAAGATTTCACACTTCTATTTTGTTCTCTTTTATTCTTCTCCAATTCTTTATATAGTCGAGATCTTTTAAAAATCTATCATGGTTTTGTTATCTTTCCACTATGGATTTGCTTTAATTTGTTAATTTTTCTATTTGTGAATGTAATTTAGAAAGGTGGATATAACTTTATAATCAATGATTTTTATTTACGATATTCTTCCATTCAAATGTTTAAAAATGCACCAAAAACTAAACCCTACACCCATCAATATAAACCCTACATCCTAAACCCAAGCCCCATAGTGTAACACCACCCCACCCTAAACCCAAACCCTATAGTGTAACAACCCCCCCCCTCAAAGCAACCCTACACCCTAAATTTAAACCCCACATTATAACGGTACATCATAAACTCCAACCGCATATTATCTTCTTCTTTTACTTCTTTCATAAATTTTTTCCTTCATTTTCTACCATTTTTTCTTATTCTTACCAAACTTTCTATTCTCTTTTTATTTTCCTCTCTCTTCATTATCATCTTTTTATTTCCTGATTTTTATTCGTTTTCTTCATTTTATTTACAATTTGTTTTTCATTTGGCTTTGTGTTCTTAAACTTCGTTTTTTTATCTTTTGATTTTTCCAACTTCTTTGTTGTTCACATATTCTTCAGTTCTTTTCTTCTTCTGTTTTGTTTTTTTTTTGTTTTTTCGTCTTTGTCTTCCAACTTTCATCTTTCCCTTACTATTATTCAGGTTTTTCTTCTTATTTCATATTATATTCATTGTCATTTTTTATTATCAATCTTTTTTTTTCAGTATCTTATTTATCAATTTCGGCTTCCTTTTCATTTTTCTTTATTTATGTTTTTTCATATTGAAACTGATAAAATAATCACTTACGATTTACTATGAAATATGAAACTAATATGATGGATCTTAAACGAATATTGAAAATCCTTTTAGATAAGCTTAGTCGAATTAGGGTTTTATGAGATTTAAGTTGTTTAAAAAAGGAAAGATGTACATACCACATATTTCGTGGAAGAACTGTTTTGAGTTGGTACCATATTTGATCTTCTTGATTTCATTAGTTAACAAAGCATGAATTTACTGTTACGAAGGTAAAGAATTAGAAGTTAGATCCGAATCTTTGCATAAAATTTAAAGAAAAATAATGAATAATCAGTTAATCATTAGAGCTAATAACACTAAGATCCAACAAAAACAATAAACCTACATGACAAAAAGATGAAATATGGACTCCGAAATATTATCATACGTCTAGAAAAAAGAATCGTAAACTGTGTTGATTTTGCAAGTTGCTATCTATTTACTCCCTCCGTTTCATAATAAATGTCGTTTTGACTCTTGAGTTACCCAATGTATCTAGATATATATGGATGTATTAAAACTCAAAACACATTCCTATAAATCATTAAATAGTCCAGATTAATTTTGTCAAAACGACACTTATTATGAAACGGAGGGAGTATATAACTCTCGCCATCTAGGGTGCGGCACTCCACCGCTTCGCCTAGCAGCTGCTTTTTTTTCCACTGTAATTTATAAAATAAGTATTTAAATGTCCTTCAAAAGTACTCGTGGGATCCGGGCGGTCCGGAGGGGACCACCAAGGCAATGCTCTTTATCATTTTTTTAATCCTATAAATCGGTCAATTAGAAACCTAGGTTTTCCTTTTTTATCTTTCCAATTTTTACAATTTCTTCCAAAATTGTGGTGCCTAATATGGTAATTAGAATTATCATTATAAAATATTTTTATTTACTAATATAATTCGTGAAATTAAAAAAAAAAGGAAATTATGAAGATTTTAAAAATAGTATTTTCATTAAGGGTAGCTGGGTAATCAACCAACTGAGAATCAATCTGGTGGCTCTAAACGAAATTTTCACTTCGCAAATAATATATTATAGATTAGGGTACCAAAAGTCGGTACAACGTAATCCAATAAATACCAGCTCTGGTATGGAAAGGATTGAGCAATTTGGTCTGGTTTTGTGATTTCTGTATTCTTGTTATATTGAGCAATTTGGTCTACGTAGCGTTACGGGAAAAGGGAGTTTTATGAAGACTCTGTTTAGGATAAGACATTAGTTTGCTTCTAGGTAACGTGTAACACAATTAGGGCATGACTATGAAAGCCAGAAAGAACAAAATTGGCTAAGCCGACAGAGTGATAACGCTCACACGAACAGGAATGTCATGTTTTATTTGTATAGTTCTCTTTAGTCCCACATCGGTTTCTTGGCTTTAAATTGTTTTGTTTATATAAGTCATTAAACAAAATATCGTGTGTCGAGCTCATTAACGAGAGCTTGTAACCCTAGTGGGGGCTTGGAGTTAGAAAAAATGCATGGGAATCGTGTATCGATCCATGTCGGCCTTCGATTTTTTACTTAAACTAAACGGATATAAAACATATGAGCAAAGATAGTCGAACTTTGTAAAAGTGGCAAGTGAGAGAACAAAGCACTAAATCTTTAAAAACTTGTATTAATAGAGATTTTAGCACTAAAGCACTGTGGAAAATTATCTTCAGGATCGTCAAGCCACCCACCGTCGCTAATCAAAGTGTTGTCCTCTTATATTTTAAAGTCCAAATAAAAATAAATTGCATACAGAAAGAAAGAAACGTTCAAGTCTCATAATAGCAGAGAATAATGGTCAAGTCTCAAAAGAAATTTGTAGCATTATTAACCTCAAGGATCAAACATCACTTTGCTTATAAAAATAAATTCGAAACAAAGCTAACTATAAAACCACTAATCAAACCTAATTCGAACTCTCTACCATTTATTATTTCACCAAACTAATGAAAAAACCTGGCTGAACTTAATCTCAGCCTAAAACACTACCTAGACTAATAAGATTTCGAAGGATCTAAGATCTGGCCAGCGAACAAAACAGTGCCGGTATTATCTTCTCTAATAAAGAAAAGAAATGGATGATCAGCAACAAAACTTATCTTCTTAGGAGGCTCCCAGTAAAGAGAACATCCCATATGCTCATCACAAGTTGCAGCTGCAGCTTCAGCACCTTCTTCGTCAATTTCGACACATGCTTTGTGATACAACGATAACGAACGCAGCCCCAAACGGCCCAAAACACTTGTAGCTGAAAACCCGAATAAGATCTTAAACTTTGGAATTCTAAATTCTGCAACTTCAACTTCGTAACTCGGAATGTGACCATCCACGAATCCAGGGATAGATGCCACTTTCTCCAAAAGATTATCCAATCCATCTTTCTCGTCCGGGAGGTAGAAGTACATTGAGAATTCACGGTTTGTATCATTAGGGCCTTGTCGGTAAGGGAGCTTGAGGACCTTGAAACCCTCGTAAGCTCTTACGTATTGGTCACAACCGCTGCTCATGAATGGCACAGAGACTGATCCACCATTCAGAAGGTGAAACTTTCTGTCTCTTGTACAGTACTTATCAAATGGCGTTTTCCAAGCTCCCTTGAAGTACAATGCGTTTCCGTAAATCATGTTGGTTGCTCCTGTGACGGAACCAGGAGGAAGAAGATCCTTGATGAGATTGTTAGTGTGACGTTCAACAAATGCATTCACCCTCGAACGCACTTCCTCTGCCTTCAAAGAAAAAGAAAAAAACATTTATCAATTTCTTTCTTAATTACTTGCCACACAATTCAAAAACACTTTCCTAGATTTGACTTTGTCAAACACAGTTCAATACGAAACATGAATTATTCAACAATTCAAACAGAAAAATTGTAATACTCGTCTTCACTTCTAGATTGATCAAGGATTAGGATACTAGAGTTTACGGGAAGAGACCCAATTCATCCTGAAACCCTAATTTTTTCTTCCGAAACCCTAATTTGTTTCTCCTGAAACCCTAGTTTTTTCTCCTAAAGCCCAAGTTTTTTTTCTTTCTCTGATAAGAAGAGGGGTTCGAAGTGAAAAAGTTACCTTAGATCGGAAATCTACTGGAGCGTAAATAGCCTTGAAGAAGTTCTCGAAGAGATCCTGAAACTTGGGATCAATCGGAAGTGATTTCTCGATCCAGAGGCCATTCGCCGTCGTGATCTTTGGGCTGCCGCTTGTGCTGTGGTCGGCGAAGACGACGGAGGAGATTTCTTGAAAGACGGCTTTAAGCTCATCGATTGAAGAAGATCTGAGGTAGGAGACGACTTCGTTGGCGATTGATTCACCTTCGGGACCAGCAGCGTGCATAGTTATGGCGGAGTTTATTGACGCCGGCGAGAATACGATGTTCCCTTTGGCGGCCAAAGAGACGACGTGGCTGAAAAGAATCATCGCAACGTCGTTTTGCTTCTTCATGGAGTTTCTGACATCCATCTTTGACTTGCAACGAGAATAGAGGACTCAGAGAGGTAATAGTTGTGATTGTAAAAAGAGTTGATGTCTATCTTAATACAGTATAAGATAGCTACATAAATAATAAAATGTAAAACTTAATTCAAAAAGGAAAAATATGTGAAAAAAAATAATTGGGAATCAAATAATAATAAATCATGTAACTGAAAATACTTAAAATCCAATCACAATTCAATGCTATTCAAGTAATGATCTACTTTTGGAGTTGGCCAAACACAAAAAAAAATTCCTAAAGAAAAGTAGAAAACGGATTAAAGAAATATGGAAGTCTTTACTTGTTAGGCTCTTTTAGTGGTTGAGATGTGATTAGGAAAATCTAACTCTTTTAGGCTTTGTACTTGTGGTTTAAAATTTTTTTGGCTTATAAGTAACTAAGTGTCTTTCGTAAACCTAATTCTTGATGATATCCGAATACTGTACGTCTTGCTGGAAGTGGAAGACTAACTCTTCTTGTTGAAGGAATTAATTGGTTTCTGACTTCTTCATTTCCTAAACCAACTTTTTTACAAGGTAAGATGCAGAATGAAGAAGAACATTGTCGTTCATTCGATGTGATGTGAAAGGTTCGGACGAAATCAATATTAAATGTTGTGGTTTCGAGTTTAGGGGATGTACGGGCTCAGAACCTCCTAATAATTCAAAAAAAAAAAAAAATTCCTCCCCAATAGTATTGTCAGATTGTTTAGTCGATTTAGCGATGCCATAAAAAAGGTTATCAAAACAATCACAGCCTCATGGAAATAGTTTTGTGGCGTATCATGTAATACCTTTTGTATCTCAACTTTTGGTATTTAATTCAGATCCTACATTATTTTGATGGCTGCTTGCTATTCATATATACTTACGATATTTTGTTTTTGTTTTGTTCGCAGGTTGTGGCAATTAATGGACTAAGATAGATTCAAATTAACTAGAGGAACTTCTTGACGAGGATGATATTATTCAAGAATATATGCAAAAGCCTTGACTTGAGTACTACGTTTTTTTTTAGAGGAAAAAAAGAAATGAAATTATTCGTGTGTGAAGGTTGGAGAAGACAATGCATATATGGCCTTTGGTTGTTGAATATCTACCTCAAGATATATACAGTCACTTCTTATGATATCAATCTCAAAAGCTTTGGCTATGTACACGTTTGGACAAAGATAATATTCACGACTCACATGCAATATATCTATCATCGATGAGAGCCAAATAATCTCAAGTAAGGGGAAACAGTCCAGAGGTTAGATTCCCAGGAAGAGTAAAGCAATAGTCATAGAGATAGCCATGTGACAAAGCAACCTATCTTAAAAATATGCAATTGATCTCTCCTCTGTCATTACGGGGGAAAAACAAGTTTTATGAAAACCTAATTAATGATAAAGCCAACAGATCGATCTCTTTCGTTTTTTTGGGTGCAAATGTGAAGAACAGATCTCTTCTCTCTACCTATACTGCTTTGTTTTGTTAATTCTCTTAAACGCACGACGATCTTGTTGCTGGTGAGCAACGGTTATCACGTGATTAGCTGTGGTCTTGGGTCGATGCTTCTCTTCTGGTGAGCTTATAGATGTTGTCTTCATAACAATAAACTTAAGATCTTCTACATGGTCTACAAAGGCGTAAACACTATTTCTACAAAAAGCCAACCCTTCTTCATGCTTACCTTGGATTTCAAAACTTTGGAGATTGTTCCTTTCTGGATTGAAGTAGAAAACATTAAACGGCTTACTTGATTCTCTCATGGACAAAACAATTTCACCTGTAGCAGTCACTCCAACAACTGAAACATTGTGGTAAGCAAATCTATTATCAACCATCAAAGTGTTGTAATATTTTGACCATTCATTTTTCTCCACATACGAAACTCAAGGGTACGCCTTCCATTACTAGCGTCAGCGTAATACACCTTACACGCACCTAATTTACCCTTATAGTTTATCAATTGATCATATAAGTCTTCTCCCTCAAGAAACTTGAATCTCTCAGACCTAACATCAAAGCAAACTATCATCTTCTTATAAAATGTTTCATCATAAGCTATGTAATACAAAACCCCATCGATGCATATTCCTCTAAGAGAGGAAGTCTTATGGGTTGAGGGACATTGGATCTTCTTCCAACTCAATTTCGCAGTTCCTAATGTCAAAATTCTAAATTCACCATCATAACAAGATGAATCAGCCCCTACGAACAACACCTTGATTTGCTTGTCAATCGGATCAAACCCTAAAAAGCTTCTGGAGTTGTTTTTGTCCCCTCCCAGTTTAGGTAAGATCTCATACTGTCCTGTGCTAGGGTTACATATTACATGCACTGTACCCTTATCCTCTTCCGAGGGTGACGACATACGACGGAAGCAGATCAAACCAGAGGCATAGCCACAAAAGTGTGACCACGTGTCTTTAGCGAACTTTAACCGGAAACCGACGTCTACTACAAGAGAAGACGACTTGTCATTTGGATTCTGAGGCTGAGGCGACGAGTAGAAGCTCCACTCATCTTTATGATATTCATGGACGGCGAATAAGAGACGCGGACGAGCCGAGGACCTTGTCAAGAACAACTCCGTGAAGTATGGACAGTGATACATAGAACACCATAGCTTCGACACGCATCGAAACCTCCTGATTGACTTTGCAGGAAGTCTCGAGAATATCTCCACAAGGAGATCATTAGAGATGGAACACATATATCAGAAATCGCAGAAACAAAATCAACAGACGAATCGGAGAGACTCGAGAGAATATATCTATAGAGGCTATATTCGTACGGAGACTAGGGCATTTATTTCGTACCGAACCAAACCAAGATTTAGTAATTTCTGTTCGATTTTCGGTTTAGAGAATACTGTGGGGTTTTTCAACAGAAACAATTCAAATTCAAGTTAGAAGTTTCCGATAGGAAAGAGTTAACCAGAGACTTTTTATTTATTTTTTTGTCTTGAAAGTTAACCAGAGACTTGAAATACATAGAGGGGTGTATTCAACTTAGGTTTTCAAGTGATTATAGGTGATATGATTTTTAGTGAGTTTTTACGTGAATTAGAGAAATCCTTATGTATTGAACTTGAGATTTTAGGTTGATTTGATTTAAAATGACAAATCCTTTGTTATTCAAATATGAATTTAAAAAAATAGTTTAAAATCCGATGTTATTGAACTTGTGATTTTGTAACCACATCTTCTACGTTTTTTGGAGAGGAAAAAGAAATGCAATTATTCATGTGTGAAGATTGGAAAAGATAATGCATATATTGCCTTTGGGTGTTGAATATCTACCTTAAGATATATACAGTCTCAACCTTAAAAGCTTTGGCTAGGTAAACATTTAAACAAAGATAATATTCACGACTTGCTAGCATTCTGCATCACATGCAATATATCTGTCATCGAGGAAAACCAAATAATCTCAAGTAAGGAGGTTATATTCTCAGCAAGAGTCATAGAGATAGCCAAAGCAACCTATATTAAAAATATGCAATAGATTAAAAAAGGTCTCTCCTCTGTCATTACGGGAAAAAAAACAAAAAAAAGTCTTATGAAAACCTAATTAATGATAAAGCCAACAGATATCTTTCTCTTCACCTATACTGCGTTTTGTTAATGCTCTTATACGCACGACGATCATGGTGCTGGTGACCAAAGGTTATCATCATGCGATGGGGATCTTCTTTAGATGTGGTCTTGGGTTCAGGCTACTCTTCTGATGAGCTTATAGATTTTGTCTTCATAACACTAAACTTAGATCTTCTACATGGTCTACAAAGGCGGAAACACTATTTCTACAAAAAGCCGACCCTTCTTCATGCTTACCTTGGATTTCAAAACTTTGGAGATTGTTCCTTTCTGGATTGTAGTAGAAAACATAAATGCTTCACGTGTATGGAAATAAGACGACAAAACAATTTCACCTGTAGCAGTCACTCCAACAACTGAAACATTGTGGTAAGAAAATCAATCAACCATCAAAGTGTAGTAATGATGTTTTGACCATTCTTGTTTCTCCACATCCTCAAGAACACGCATACGCAACTCAAGGGTACGCCTTCGCCTTCCATTACTAAGGTCAGAATAAAACACCTTAATCACACCTAACTTACCCTTATAGTTTATCAATTGATCATAAAAGCCTTCTGTGTCAACAAACTTGAATTTCTCAGACCTTACATCAAAGCAAACTATCATCTTCTTATTATACGTTTCATGATATGCTATGTAATACAAAACCCCATCGATGCATATTCCTTTAAGATCCGGGTAAGGCTCATGGGCTAAAGGGCATTGGATCTTCCTCCAATTCATTTTTCCAGTTCCTAATGTCAGAACTCTAAAATCACCATTATGACAAGTTGAATCAGCCCAGACCAACAACACCTTGAATTGCTTGTCAATCGGATCAAACCCTAAATAGTTTCTCGAGCTGTTGACGTCCCTTCCAAGTTTAGATAAGATCTCATACTGTCCTGTGCTAGGGTTACATAGTACAAGCACTGAACCCTCATCTTCTTCCGAGGGTGACGTATGACGGAAGCAGATCAAACCAGAGGCATAGCCACAAAAGTATGACCACGTGTCTTCAGGGAACTTCAACCGGAAACCGACGTCTACTGCAAGAGAAGACGACTTCTCGTTTGGATTCTGAGGCTGAGACGACGAGTAGAAACTCCACTCAGATTTATGATATTCATGGACGGCGAATAAGAGACGTGGACGAGCAGAGGACCTGGTCAAGAACAACTTCGTGAAGTATGGACGGTGATACATAGAACACCATACCTTCGACAAGCAACGAAACCTCCTGACTGACTTTGCAGGCAATCTCGAGAATATCTCCGCAATGAGATCATTAGAGATGGAACTCATGCTCGGGTATATCAGAAATCGCAGAGAAAAACCAAAACAAGAATCACATAGACTCGAGATTCGAGAGAATATATTTATAGAGGTCGAAGCCTAGGGCATTTACTCCGCACCGAACCAAACCGAGATTTAGTTAAATTTGGTTCGATTTCCGGTTTAGTGAATACTAATTTATAAATATGCAATTGATAAATAATTTCCTGTTTTCTTGTCTTTAAAGCAACCTAATTTATAAATATGCAATTGATAAATAATTTCTGTCATTACGGAAAAAAAAAAAAAGAGTTTTATGAAAACCTAATCTACATAACTAATAAGGCTTGGACACTCTCCTGTTCGAGACACGTGGCAACTTCTTTTTTTCTTCCTTCCTAACGCCAAAACGACATCGTTTCTTCCTTCCTTCCGCCTTACACCAAAACGACGTCGTTTTGTGCCTCTCCCACTTGCTTTCAAAACGATGTCGCTTTCGTATTAAAAAAAAAAAACCACAAATATGTAGATTATATGTAACTAAAACCCTAAAATCTCAAATTCGATTCTCTCAAAAATCAAATTCCATGGCGGAAGAAGAGACGATTCATTGCCTACTTCGTTATTTTGAAAAGAAATGAAGATGTGTTTGATCCCTGATTCCCTGTTCGCCTGGAAGATCGAGTGAGAATCCTCTGAATCTGTGTGGGTTTCTGATCATGTTTTCCTAATTGTGTAATGAACTAATGATATTGTTGATTGGTTTGGTGAATCAATCTAGAAAAACTTTGCTTCCTTAGAAGTCATTTATTTCAGTTGAGTTGCTTCTGGTTTATATTGTTTCCGATTAGCGACAATACACTGTTGTAGAATCCTCTACGTTCCAGTTTTCCTGGTTGCATACTTGCATTGTTTTGTGTGTGTTATAAGGGCTTCGAATTTCGATTGATTATTGTTCGCAAAGAGAGTTTTTTTCCGTTTTTTAGTTGCAGGGTTTCAAATTTGAATTAGAAAACAGAATTATCCAACGGTGAGATCGCGACATCTGAAGAACGAGGATTTCGACAGACTCTTCTCTCTTTTGCTTAGTCTTTTTTAGATTATCATCTAATCAGTGGTATGGGCATCTAGAAGATAAATGTCTCATTTTTGTTTCTCGGAAATTAACCTTAAAAGCAGGTTAAACGCCTAGAGATGCATGTGAAAAGAGAGACTAACGCCTGCGAAAATGTGCACTGACGATTCGGACGAGTTCCCAACCGATACTCATCGTGTGGTCCAAGCGAGCTGGGAAGTATGAGTATAGTGTTACAACCGCAAACTTTTAGGTGACTTTTGATCTCCTCTGTATCAAAATTGAGTGATGTAATGTACAGTGTTACAAGAGTTAAAATCAGTGAGCTTTGTTTACTCTCTGGACATCAGGTTTAGACTCTCAAATGTGCGTTATCTCTGCTTGCATTGACAAGGATATGGAAAAACGAAGGTGTTACTGACGATAATAGGTTTTGTATTCTTCTGCTACTCGATTTGTTAATGGGTTTGCGACTACCATCATTGGGTTTTTGACTTACTGATACCCAGATTATGTCTCTGAATCAGGTTAAGTACAACATATGACGAAGTTAAAGTCTTTCCCATCCCTGCTGCATTGTACCTTTTCAAGAATCTGTTACAGGTGGGCTTTCGTTAGTTTTTGTGTGTGTGTGTGTGTGTGTGAGACTTAGGTCGATGTTTGTAGTTAAATGTAAAGAACTTCTGGCTTTATGTCTTTGGGATGGCTTTCAATGCTGTTAATATAGTTATCCAAGATTTCCATGCCGTTGCAAATAAGTAAATCCAAAACCCATATTCTTCTATTTCTCCATTCATATTTGCTACTAATTAATACACTGAGATTTGCCTTCCTATATCAACATACTTGTGTCCATATAACCAATTATGAAAGTACAACTTCCGTATAGTCTTGGTGTCTAAGAGTTCATTGTTTTATGCAGCTATGTAACACATCTGCTTTGGTATTGAATGGGTGATTTTCTATTTTCAGGGGATTTTTTCATGGCTACTCATTCATTACATTTCTCATGATTCTTAACCATGCTCTCAGGTAAAATCTACTTCAGAGGCTACGCTCTACTTTAAGTGTACGTTAGTGAAGTTTACACATTAAAACACTATGAAGTTAGTGAAGTTAATAATCACATATTTGTTGTTTCTGAAATATCAAGTGTTAATTGTTCACAACTAATTGTTTATCTCATTTGCGTCCTTTTCTCCTCAGTCTCTAACTACTGCATTTGCTATCTTTAGCTTCTCATGTGAGAACGCCATTAAAAATTAATAGAGAGTATTTTTTTCCCTTAGCCAGATTTTTGCTGTTAAATTTTAAACATTTAGCAACAGAACAATGTGAGCTGTTAGAAAGGTGATCATGATGATAAATATTGGATCTTGTGGTTTTGTAATTTCAGAGAGAGAGTGATGAAGGGAGACGTAGGGTGGAGAGAGTGATGAAGAAGAGAATATAAGCAATCATAGTGCCACAAAATTCGATCTATTTTGTCTAGAATTAATTTTTTTTCATCGCTATTTTGAAAATTTACAGCAAAGATTTTTGAACCCTCATAGTTCTTAACGAGACTGAAATTGGTAATTGCTCTCATGGTGAGTTTATATGTTCTAGCCGACTATATATGCTTCTTGGTTTTTTTCACTATCTACCTTCCAATGTAACTTTCTTGTTTTCCCTACGTACTATATACAGCCTAAGTAGATAAGTTATCTTCCTTCATGCATATTTGGATGCAAAAATGTTTTTCATTACATAAATTAGATATCATAACCGGTGTTGAGTTGTGCTTCATATTGATATACAAGATACAAATACTCACAACAACACACAAAAAACTATAAATATATAAACCCGCGCATTGCGCTGGTACTCTCCTAGTTATTGATAAAGCCAACAGATCTCTTTCTCTTTATCAATACTGCTCTATTTTGTTAATGCTCTTAAACGCAAAACGATCTTGTTGGTGATGTTGATCTTCTTTACATGTGGTCTTTCTTTCATGCTTCCCTTCTGGAGATCAGCTTATAGATGTTGTCTTCATAACATTACACTTAGATCTTCCACATGGTCTAAAAAGGCGTAAACACTATTTCTACCAAAAGCCAACGCTTCATCTTCTTTACCTTGAATTTCAAAACTTTGGAGAGTGTATGTTTGGGGATCGAAGTAGAAAACATAAAACGCTCCACACGTATGGAAAGAAAACGACAGAACAATTTCACCTCTAGCAGTCACTCCGACAAATGAAACATCGCGAAAAGCAAATTTACTATCCCTCAAAGTGTAGTGGTATTTTGACCATTCTTGTTTCTCGACATCCTCAAGAACACACATACGCAACTCAAGGGTACTCCTTTCTTCACCAGCACACTTCAAATTATTAATCACACATAATTTACCCTTATAGTTTATCAATTGATCATCCTCGCATTCTTTGTCAATGGACTTGAATACCTCAGACCTAACATCAAAGCAGACTATCTTCTTATAATCCGTTAAGTAATACAAAACCCCATTGATGCATATACCTTTGGAGGAGGAAGGGTAGGGACATTGGATCTTCCTCCAACTCTTTTCTCCAGTTCCTAATGTCAGAGTTTGATGACAAAAGCTATCTCCAACCATGGACAATACCTTGAATTGCTTGTTAATCGGATCAAGCCCTAACAAGCTTCTCGAGCTGTTGATGTACCTTCCCCTTCCCAATTTAGGTAAGATCTCATACTGTCCTGTGCTAGGTTTACATATTACATGCACTGTACCCTCATCCTCTTCCGAGAGTGACTCATGGCGGAAGCAGATCAAACCAGAGACATAGCCACAAAAGAATGACCACGTGTCTTCAGGGAACTTCAACCGGAAACCGACGTCTACTACAAGAGAAGACGACTTGTCGTTTGGATTCTGAGGCTGAGGCGATGAGGAGAAACTCCACTCACGTTTTCGAGAGTGACGGCGAAAAAGAGACGCGGACGAGCCGATGACCTGGTCAAGAACAACTCCGTGAAGTATGGACAGTAATACATAGAACACCATAGCTTCGACAAGCAACGAAACCTCTTGATCGACTTTGCAGGCAATCTCGAGAATATCTCCACAATGAGATCATTAGAGATGGAACTCATGCTCGGAATGATATATCAGAAATCCCAGAGAAAAACCAAAACAAGAATCGCAGAGAGTCGTCGAGAGAATATATTTATAGAGCTCGAAGCCTAGCGCATTTATTCTGTACCGAACTAAACCGAGATTTAGTTATTTTGGTTCGAGTTTCAGTTTAGTGAATACTTTGGGTTCTCTCAATTAAAATCCAAATTAGAAGAAGTTTCCGATATTGCAGAGATATTCCAATAGGAAAGAGTTAACCAGAGATTTGAAATACATACAATTGAAAACATAACAGAGAGAGAAAGAGAAGAAGCAAAACAAAAGTAACTCTCTGTATGCAGCAACGGGCCAAATGAAACCGCGGAAGATGATACCACTACCGTTATAAATAGTTGTCTCTAGTTATCGTGAAAGACATACTTGGATTATCTAATAAAGAGCTTTTCTTAACAGAAGAGAATTCTCAACTTGTTTCTTTGAATTTGGTATTCGATCTCTCGAATCAACAAGAACAGATAATGTTTTTATCCGGTATTTCGAAAGAATCTACAGATTGAACTTTCTTTTGTTACTCTGTTTAGCTTCCGTTATTCAAAATCAAGATTTCAAATACTTCATTAAAATCTAATGTCATTCAAAACTAAATGACTTTTAATAGTTTTGTGTAATGAGTTGAATTATTGACAAGTAAATTATTAAAAATAAAATCCAAGCTAAAAGAGTATAAAATCTAGAAAATTGGTTTTAAATCTATATATCAATAACACCCCTTAGATAGAAAGAATCAAAAGAGAAAAAAAAAAAAAAAATCTTACTCTAACAGACTTTTTAATCTGAAAGTTATTTCATATAGGCGATTTTAAATTCCTAATTTTTAGTGGTTGAGATCTGATCTCTGTTCTGTTGTTTGCATCACTGGTTTTCCGTCTGTGGCGTAAGCCACAAGAAAGGTTTGTTGTTACATAAAACCCTGGCTTTCTTGATCTGATTCCGGATTGGCCATTGATTTTCTGGTTATGCAGCTCTGGTGACGATAGTCTGGTTTTTTAAAGTGTTTATGTTTTGGTTTACCAAATTTGTAACACGTTATTGTTCTGGAAGTGTTTTTCTTGATTGAGCGCTCTCTCAATTGATTACTGCAACAAGTATGCAGTATATTAAGTAAACCGAATATCGGTTATGTTGGTTTAATGTAAAGTACAATCTTATCTTGGTTTAATTTCCCTTAGTTTAGCATTGTAGTATATAGTCAACTTTTACTGTTGTAACAAACTAACGAAGATAATACAAACAAACTTTTCTCTCACTTTTCTGGGTTAAGCTTTCTCTCTCTAGCTGAGCTCAAGCTTCGTTCAATGTTTGTTAAGAACTATGTCGAATTGCCAGTTTGTACTTGTGACAAATGTGAGTGTGATGCTGCGTGCTTATGGGAGAAATTGCAGCATAGGAGCCGTGTTACGAAGTTCTTGATGAGTCTTAATGAGTCGCATGAGCAGACTCGCCGTCACATTCTGATGATGAAGCCTATTCCAACGATTGAGGAGACTTTCAATATAGTCACTCAAGATGAGCGTCAGAAGCTTCTTCGACCCGTGTCTAATGTGGTTGCCTTTAACATGAATACTAGTGGTTATGATGGTCAAGGTCATGGTGATGATCCCAATCTTGTGGCTGCTTATATGGGCAGAGGAACTCAGAAACCTGTTTGTACGCATTGTCGAAAGATGGGACATACTGTTCAGAAGTGCTTCAAGATTCATGGTTTTCCTCCGGGATACAAAACAAATACTTATGCATCGAAGCAGCAACCTTCTGGTCAACAGAGAATGCCTCCGGCACCATCTTCTCAGTCTCAGTCTCACATGCCTACCTATTCAGCTAATGTTCAGTCAGCAAATGCCATTGCGAACGTCTATGCTGATGCAGGGGGATCTTATGCTTATGCACCTGTTCCAGTTGCTAGTGGAGATACTACAGTGAGCATTCAGAATTATTCTCCACAACAACTTCAAGACTTAGTGGCACAGTTTCATTCTCAGGTGAAAGTTCCGGTTCCTGTTGCTCCTCCTTCGCAGACGGCTACGATCACAGATCATGGGGTCATGGCTCAGTTTTCTACTTCTGGTAATGTTTCATTTCCTTCTACCAGCCTTCGTTATGCAAACAATGACCTTACCTTTCAAAATCATAGCCTTTCCTCCTTACAACAACTCTTGCCTAGTGATGCTTGGATCATAGATAGTGGAGCCTCTAGTCATGTATGTTCTGATCTAGCTATGTTTAGCGAACTTACACCTGTAGCTAGTGTCACTGTCACTCTTCCTAATGGTACTAGAGTTCCTATCACACACACAGGCACAATTCATATCACTGATTCTTTGATTCTCTATGACGTTTTGCATGTTCCTGCATTTCATTTCAATCTCATCAGTGTTAGTTGTTTGGTTCGTACTTTGTTGTGCTCTGCTCATTTCTATCCCACTTGTTGTTTCATTCAGGAACTTTCTCAGGGCTTGATGATTGGAAGGGGTAAACTATTACACAATCTATACGTTCTGGATACTCCGACGCATACTACCTCTTCTTCATCATTGCCTTCTTTCTGTGGTTCTGTTTTGGTTGATGATAATGTTTGGCGTCAGCGTCTTGGCCATCCTTCTCTTCCTACCATGCAGAAGTTGAAAGCTGCTTTACCTTCTAGTGCTATTGTTTCTGATTCTTTTCATTGTTCAATTTGTCCTTTAGCTAAACAAAAGCGTCTTGCGTATGTTTCTCATAATAATTTGGCTTCTAAGCCGTTTGATCTAGTTCATATTGATATCTGGGGTCCGTTCCATATTGAGTCTGTTGAAGGATTTCGTTATTTTTTACTTTGGTTGACGATTGTACAAGAACGACTTGGTTATACATGTTGAAATATAAAAGTGATGTTGCTTCTATTTTTCCAGCATTTCTTACTCTTGTTAATAATCAGTTCAATTGCCAAGTAAAGTCCATTAGATCTGATAATGCACCTGAATTGGCTTTCACTGATTTACTTCATGAAAAAGGCATTATTCACCAGTTTTCTTGTGCCTATACTCCTCAGCAGAACTCAGTAGTGGAACGGAAACATCAACATCTTTTAAATGTGGCTCGTGCATTGCTTTTCCAATCTAATGTTCCCTTGAAGTATTGGAGTGATTGTGTGCATACTGCTGTGTTTTTGATCAATCGCATGCCTTCTCCTTTACTTGGCAACAAATCTCCTTTTGAATTGTTGATGTCCAAGGCCCCTGATTTTAGTCTTTTAAAATCTTTTGGCTGTCTTTGCTATATGTCCATCATTAAGACCCATCAAGAACTTCGTAACACGGCTCCTATGCTGCAATTTCTCCCATAAGCACGCAGCATCACACTCACATTTGTCACAAGTACAAACTGGCAATTCGACATAGTTCTTATGCTCTTCCCAAAGAATAATCAACTCTGTATAGTAAGCGGAAACATCCATTGATCCTTGTTCCAATTTACTCAGCTTCTGCTCAATATCATAAACCCTAGGTACATCGTCTTGTTTGAATCGAGAGAGCAAATTATTCCAAATCCCTTCAGCAGTGGAAATGAGCAAGAGACTTTGCCCAATCTTCTTGGATACAGAATTCATCAACCAAGTCGCTACAATATCGTTACACCTAGACCACGCACCATAATTCCTATCAGTTGGAGGAGGACGAGAAATCGTACCATCGATGAATCCCAATTTGTTGCGCACATTCAACGCCATACGCACGGATCTGCGCCAAGAGTGAAAATCCGACGGCGTAGAGAGTCGATCGGAGACTAAAACAAGTTCGCTGCTGTGCAAGAAATATGGATTATCGTATTGATCTGTTCCCGTCGGTGCTGTCACATTCAACGGATCGGAGCCAGAAGGCGGAGCTGAAGAACCCATGGATTCGAGCTCAAAAAAGAAGAAATCGAAGAAATGTGTGACGATACGAAAGAGAAATCGCACACACAGAGGTCAATCAAAGAGAAACAAAGAAAATCAGAACGGAAAAGCAGTATACGATTCCGAGCAAAAAAGTGCCAAAAATGGCGAGAAAATCGAACAAAACAACGAGAAAATCTGCGGAATAAGGAATCGCGCTGCTCATTGAAGAAGAAGAGATTCAATCGCGGAAGAAAGAAAGATCTCTGATACCATATTAACAAACATTGAACGAAGCTTGAGCTCAGCTAGAGAGAGAAAGGTTAACCCAGAAAAGTGAGAGAAAAGTTTGTTTGTATTATCTTCGTTGATTTGTTACAACAGTAAAAGTTGACTATATACTACAATGCTAAACTAAGGGAAATTAAACTAAGATAAGATTGTACTTTACATTAAACCAACATAACCGATATTCGGTTTACTTAATACTCCCTTCTCTTCTCTTCACCCATGTCAGACATTTCCGCCATTAGGTTTTATTTGATGTTAAGGCTTACGAGCATATATTAGACATTCAGTGATGACCCCATAACCATAAGAAGAACATCTATACAATCACGGCCTCATGGAAATAGTTTTGTGGAATATCATGTAATAGCCGTGCCTACCGTTATATTATATCGAAAAAACATTGGCCTACAGCCTCAAAATTTTGAAAAAAGAACATAGAAGCATATTGGTGGTGCTATTATTTTATCAAATATATGCTTATATGTTTGTCGTTTAGAGTATAAGTATGCTATTTTCATCTATTTTACTTCTCTGTTTTTATTTAGTTATTAATCATCGATCCCTATTACAGTTGAGTGACTTAGTTAACTTATCTATAGGAAACAAATTTGTTACAGAAGTTTATTTTGAATAGTGATTTGTGGGAAAGAAAATAACAAGAATCAAGTTATGAACTGTTTTGTGTGTTTAGTTCTTTATTTTTATTTTTTTTTATCATATGACAATGTTTATTATAGTAGACACTTTTCCTTTTGATTTCTGTAGATGAAAAGTCACATCTCAGCCAACATAACTAGACTCTATCTTATATAGATAATGAAAGACAACTTCAGCCACTACTCTAATATAATGCTATATGAGCTTTTCTCATAGAGAAGAAGCTCACTGAATAAAAAGCAGAGATAATACAACTTAAGATCCTCTCTGGGTGGTCTACATAATTAATCATCGTTTAAAAGAGACAGGGATTTAGATGATGTTGCAGCAATGCAGCATATGTTGTCTTCACAGCATTAATGAATATTATGGCATGAAATAACGAAAGAAAGTTTAATATGTTTAAAACTTTCTTGGATTATAAGTAACTAAGTGTCTTTCGTAAACCCAATTCTTGATGATATCCGAGCACTGTATTGGTTGATCTAGTGATGCCCCATAACCATAAAAAAGGACATCAAAACAATCACGGCCTCATGGAAATAGTTTTGTGGAGTATCATGTATAATACCATCTGTATCTCAACTTTTGGGATCTAATTCATATCCTATATTATTTTGAAAACTGCTTGCTATTCATATATATACTTACGAAATTTTGTTTTTGTTTTTGTTTTGTTCGCAGGTTGTGGTAATTTTGGACTAAGATAGTTTCACATTAAATAGAGGAACTTCTTGACGAGGATGATATTATTCAAGAATGCAATTATGCAAAAGCCTTGAATGGATCATGGATGAGTCTTAATTTTTTATGCTTTATGCTTCAGACCTACGTTTTTTTGCAGTGGAAAAAGAAATGCAATTATTCATGTGTGAAGGTTGGAGAAAATAATGCATATATTGCCTTAAAAGCTTTGGCTAAGTAAACGTTTAGACAAAGATAAATAGATAATATTCACGACTTGCTAGCATTCTGCATCACATGCAATATATCTGTCATCGAGGAGAACCAAATAATCTCAAGTAAGGAGGAAACAATCCATAGGTTAGATTCTCAGAAAGAGTCAAGCAATAGAGTCATAGAGATAGTCATCTGACAAAGCAAGCTATCTTAAAAATATGTAACTGATAAATAATGTCTCTCCTCTGTCATTACAGGAAAAAAAAAGTTTTATGAAAAAACCTAATTAATGATAAAGCCAACAGATCTCTTTCTCTTTACCTATACTTCTTTGTTTTGTTAATGCTCTTAAACGCACGACGATTATGTTGCTGGTGAGCAACGGTTATCATGAAGTGATGGTGATCTTCTTTAGATGTGGTCTTGGGTTCAGGCTACTCTTCTGGTGAGCTACTGAGCTTATAGATGTTGTCTTCATAACATTAAACTTAAGATCTTCTACATGGTCTGCAAAGGCATAAACACTATTTCTACAAAAAGCTGACCCTTCTTCATGCTTACCTTGGATTTCAAAACTTTGGAGATTGTTCCTTTCTGGATTGTAGTAGAAAACATAAAACGCTTCACGTGTAGTATAAGACGACAAAACAATTTCACCTGTAGCAGTCACTCCAACAACTGAAACATTGTTGTAAGAAAATCTATCAACCATCAAAGTGTAGTAATGTTTTGACCATTCTTGTTTCTCCACATCCTCAAGAACCCACATACGCAACTCAGGGGCACGCCTTCCATTACTAACGTCAGCATTAAACACCTTAATCACACCTAATTTACCCTTATAGTTTATCAATTGACTAAGCTCGCATTCGTTGTCAATGAAGTTGAATATCTCAGACCTAACATCAAAGCAAACTATCTTCTTGTGATGTGTTTCATCATAAGCTATGTAATACAAAACCCCATCGATGCATATTCCTTTAAGAGGGGAAGGCTTATGGGTTAAGGGACATTGGATCGTCCTCCAACTCATTTTTTCAGTTCCTAATGTCAGAATTCCAAAATCACCACCATAAAAAGATGAATCAGCCCCGACAAACAACACCTTGAATTGCTTGTCAATCGGATCAAACCCTAAAAAGCTTCTCGAGTTGTTGCTGTCCCTTCCCCTTCCCACTTTAGGTAAGATCTCATACTGTCCTGTGCTAGGGTTACATATTACATGCACTGTACCCTCATCCTTTTCCGAGGGTGACGACGCATGACGGAAGCAGATCAAACCAGAGGCGTAGCCACAAAAGTATGACCACGTGTCTTCAGGGAACTTCAGCCGGAAACCACGTTGTACTACAAGAGAAGACGACTTGTCGTTTTGATTCTGAGGCTGACACGACGAGTAGAAACCCCACTCAGATTTTTGATATTCATGGACGGCGAATAAGAGACGTGGACGAGCCGAGTACCTGGTCAAGAACAGCTCCGTGAAGTATGGACGGTGATACATAAAACACCATAGCTTCGACAAGCAACGAAACCTCCTGATTGACTTTGCAGGCAATCTCGAGAATATCTCCACAAGGAGATCATTAGAGATGGAACTCATGATATATATCAGAAATCGCAGAGAAAAACCAAAACAAGACTCGAGAGAATATATTTATAGAGGGCATTTATTCCGTACCGAACCAAACCGAGAATTAGTAATTTTGGTTCGATTTTCGGTTTAGTGTTAACTTTGGGTAATCCAAATTAGAAGTTTCCAATAGTGCAGAGAGAGATATTCCGATAGGAAAGAGAGAGTTAACCAGAGAGACTTGAAATACATACAGAGAGAGAAAGAGGATAAGCAAAACAAAAGATCAATTTCGAAATCTTTTTTTTTTTCTAGACATCCTTGGCAATGAGATCACCGTTGAGCAACTCTCTGTAAGCAGCAACGGGCCAAATGAAACCGCGGAAGATGATCCCACTAGCCAAAGGAACATCGATGATGATCTCTTTCATCGCCGGCTTCTTCTCCCCGCTGATCGCTCTCAAGTAGCTTCTCCCGACCCACCCGATCCACCCGGCGATGTAGAGGAAGAGAATCCCTGGCGTTATGAACTCTCCCCAATGCCGCTGGTCTCCGTTCACTATCAGGTGCGGTAGTCCGTCCGAGCCACAGAGTAGCCCGTACTTGCCGTAGTTGTCGAACCTAACCAACCAAAATTTCATATCAGAAAACAAAATTCAAAAACCTCCACAAAAATCAATCATAATGCTACTCAATTTCCATTGATAGCAACACCAATTTCAAATCAATCTACATGAATTTTCGAATCAGAGTTATGAAATCATGGATCTGGGAAACTAAAAAAAATGAACCTAAAATCGGAGAATCCAGAACAGGTGAAATTGAGATCTAAATTATTCTGGGGATTTGGGATTTGTGAGCTATGGAGACGAACCTGCGCTTGGTTTTCTCGATCTGAGCGTTGAGAGCGAGAGCAGGGGCGCTCTCAGGAGCGTAGAGCTTGAGGGAGGATTCGAGTTTTTTGATCTGTTGCTTCTCTCTCTTGGCGAACTGTTTGGAGTCCTTGCAAGGGGTCAAGCCTGAGATATCAGCGACGGCTGGCATCGGAGCTGAGAGGAGGATGGAGGAGAGAGCGACGGCGGCGGAGAAGGCCTTCATGGACTGTGGCTGCGTCGCGGATTTGTTGTCATCGGAGGAGGAGCAGACGAATCTCGCGGCGGATTTGGGTACGGATTGGGTGAGAGATTTGTTGGATCTCGGGTTGAGGACGAGATTCGTCGGGATCGTGAGCGACATCGTTGTACTCGATTACGGGTTTTCTCTGGATTTGGGGGGGTGGATTACAGAGAAGTGTGAGAGATGAGAGCTTTAGATTCTTTAGAGGACAAATAGGATTAGTGGAGGGAGAGAAAGATAAGAGAAGAGGTCTCGTGGTGATGAGGTGGCGTGTTGTGAGTGGTGGATAAGTCACACGTCATGGATAAGAGATTTTCCCGCTGATTTTTGTAATTTTCTCATCTCACGTTGAAGATATGTGGACTACACACGACACTATATCTATCTGATTACTAGTTTACTACTGATACTGCAAACTTCAGCTTTGATTGGTCAACCACATATTAAGGGTGGTCATTTCGTTTTTTTTTTGTTGTTGAAAAATTCTACCTGAATTCTGACCGATGTGAATTCGGTTTAGTTTAGGTTTGTCTGTAAAACTGTAACACAAGGTATTTCGGTTTATGTTTACCTTGTGTTAATCTTCTTTTTGTAAACTTTATAATTTTTTTTTTTTTGAATTACTAGGAGGTTCTGGCCGAAGCTCGTAATTCCCTAGGCCCGAAACCACATCATGTAATATTGGTTTCGTCCCAAGCAGCACTCGATGACCTCTAAGCTTTGCCTAGGTTCCCTTTACCAGTCGAGCTATAGCCACTTGTAAACTTTCTAATTTACATTCACGATTGTGAAATTTCATGAGTTTCCATCACAATTCACAAACCAAGTGACAGTTAAAAGACTGTTTACCAATGTCGATCTTGATACGCATAATAACGGTTTCACACTTATGTCTTTCATGAACGTTGCCGAATGGATGGAAACTGCAATTCCACAAAAATGTGTGATAGGCAAAAAAGCAGTTGAATTACAAAATCGTTTTTCATTTCGCTGGTTACGAATCATGTTACATATCTTTTACAATTGACTTACTGTAATATTTGAATAGTTACAACCATTTTTAAAACAAGATCTCTTGAACTGAAATACGAATTTAGTCATGGAACTTATGAACAAAAAACTCAAACTACTAAACACTAGTTATTAAGACTGTTCACTTCTTTTTCAAAGTTAAAACCCCATCTATTATTCTTTTTATTTTTATTTGTGTGAAAACCTCATCTATTACTTGAAGGGCAAAAGTAATTAATATATTTCTTCTTCTCATTTTCCCATATATATTGGTAGTTAGTTCCGAGATGAGATTTTGGTTGATGTAAATCAGGTTTCACTCGTTGAACTAGTAACACTAACTTCTCATATATTTTGATTGGTCGGTTTCTCTTGAAATCATGGGTAAACAAATTCTGATAAACCATAAGGCTCTCTTATTTACACAACAAAGGCATAAGGAAATACACAAATTAAGAAGGTTACAGCAGCTGACAATAAATCAAACAAAATCATCTTCCAAGAGAGAGAGAGAGAGAGATGGAAAATCAGACATTGTGTGAGTTGTCGTGCTTGGTACGAGGAGATGACGGGGGAGAGGAGGTGGTGGAGATGGTTGCACCGGGAGGTGGAGCAGGAGCGCCGTACACCTGAGGATTTGTGTGGATCTCTCGACGGCCGCGAGATTTCCCGAGGAAGTAACAGCCGAATCCAAGAAGAAGACAGAAGAAAATTAGAGGAAGAGATATGACCACCACCAAACCCATCGATATTGAGATCTATTGTGATCTATCTTCTTTCTCTGATTGGTTTTTTGCTTTTCTTGAACTATTGGTTTTGCTTTGATTCTATTTCATATAGACATATTTATATATACATGTGTGATGTGTAGGAAGAATCCGATTCTGTCTGGTCCGCAACGTTTATGTCTTGAAAGCTTAACGTTCGAATCACAACGGTTATCTTCTCTTTTGGTGGACCCTATATACATATTTTATACTTTTAATAAAGACGATATTTATAATTATTTAGAGCTCTTGATTGATAAACACTTTATTTGACCAATCCATGCAATTAAATGTCCAGATTTTTGATCCATAACACTTGATTTAAAAAAAAACACTCATTAAATAACGATGGATCGGTGGTGTTATTGGATGTTTGTTATTCAATTTAAGATTATAAATTATGTTTCTAAATTCAGTGTTATTAGATATCTTATTTGTAATTTACTAATTTATCATCAAAAGATTTTTCAAATTATTGTTATTGAATCAAGATTTTAACTCTATTTTAAAATCTAGTATTATTCAAAATTAAATGACTTTTAAAATCTTTATTTATTAAATCATTTAAAATGAATTATTACAATGTAGTTTCATGTGTACATTATTACAAATAGAATCCAATCAATATTCAATATTGCAGATACTTGATTTCAGAATCAACTACAGTATAAACTCTATAAATTAATACTCGATAAATTAATAAACGCGATAAATTAATAAATTCTTCCGATCCCGAGTTGGGCCGGTGTAAAATATGACATAATTCGATAAGATAATAAGATAATAACTTTTTCTAAACTCCTATGTAAAATATGGTCCCAATAATATTATAAATTAATAATTATCATATAAAAAATTTATATATATATATATATATACCTAAAATATCTAGTTGCTAAAATATGAATCTCTCACACACTAAACATTATGAAATTTATCACAATATGGTAAGTATGAGAAAATGTATTAAGCAAACATAAAGACTTCAAAAAAGTTAAGAAAATTTACGTATACGTGGAATTTTTTTTATTAAAATGGAAGGAAAAATTAAAAGATTACTAATACTGAATTTTCTTTTTTTTAAAATATTTTTTAGTCAAAATCTATATATTAATAACTCTATAAATTAATAAAATATCAAAGTCCCAACATTATTAATTTATAGAGTTTCTACTGTATATTGATTTTAAATACATAGATTGAATAACACGACTCCAACATAACTCATTTTTCTTTATATTTTATTACCATGATTTTTTATTTGGTTTTAGAACCACAACTCATAATTCAGACAAAAAGAGAGGCTCTTGACTAAATTTGTGATCATCAAAAAAAATCTTAAGGGGAAAACAGCAGTACAAGATTTTACTCATCATTCAAAACCGAGTTTTTTTGCTTTTCCATTTGATTTGGAAAAGAAAAACCATAATACAAGAATCACAAACCTATCACCGATCTGATCAATCATCAATGTCCCAAGTGCAAAGCTTCATCGACGGCCAAAGCCAATGCAGCAGCAGCTCCAACATAAGTGTGTGGAGTCAGCTTCAAAAGCTGAGATTTTGCATCTTCAGGCAAATCCAAACCTTTGATAAACTCTCTTATGCTTTCTTCATTCACAGCTCTTCCTCTTGTTAGCTCCTTTAGCTTCTCATACGGCTCTGGAACACCGTATCTCCTCATCACCTTTTATAACACCACATGACAACATCCGTGAATCAGCTATACATAGGCAAAACTAGGTCGTCAAAGAAGACTAAGAATGTGAGAGAGAAATTTACAGTTTGTATCGGTTCAGCGAGGACTTCCCAAGTTTGATCCAAATCTTCATTCAACCGAGCTTCATTAACCTATTTCAAGAACATTCTTAGCCTATGAAACAAGTGGGAACATTTCTTTAGGGCTTACAAGAACAATACCTGAAGCTTCCCGATCCCCTGAATCGCGCTCTTGTAAGCGAGAAGAGAGTGTCCTAAAGCTCCACCCATGTTTCTCAACACAGTTGAATCGGTTAAATCACGCTGCAGAGATTGTTACATTATTTCAGGCTTAGTTTCATTTCCATCGCTCTAGCAAAGTATATAGAGAAAATGCTCTAACCAACCTGCATTCGTGAAATGGGAAGCTTCATGCTGAGGAAAGTAAGCTCTGCGTTTGCTTTGCCTAGGTTCCCTTCACTGTTCTCAAAGTCAATAGGATTCACTTTGTGAGGCATTGTCGATGATCCGATCTCACCAGCTTTTGTTATCTGCTTTCAAAAAAATTCAAACAATGAGATGAATGATTCTCTACCATTCACATTCACATTCAAATGATTCAAGCTTTGTTTTTGTTTTTCCACTTGCCTGCTTAAAGTAGCCTAGAGATATGTAGCTCCATATATCTCTGTCGAAATCAATCAAGATGTTGTTGAATTGGCTTATTGTGTTAAAAAGTCTAGCCATGTAGTCATGAGGTTCAATCTGCAAGAACCGCAAGAACAACCAATCAGTGAGAATATCTTTATGAAATTACAAAGAAACTCGTTTGCTCAAGAGAACCTATATATACCTGAGTGACATATGGGTTAAATGCTAATCCGAGAGAAGTAACAAACTCCTCTGCAACATGAGGCCAGTCGATATTAGAATACGCAGAGATATGAGCGTTGTAGTTCCCAACAGCACCTGCAAATTTCCCCTTGATCTTGGTTTCTGAAAGACATCTCCTTTCTTCGCTTAACCTCACAGCGAAAATCGCCATTTCCTTCCCCAAAGTTGTAGGAGAAGCTGGCTGCATTTACAAGGAAATTGACAGAATCAAAATCATAACCAATTGCATTAACACAACGATGTAAATCGTTTCTTTTTGACATCAGTACCTGGCCATGAGTTCTTGAAAGCATGGGGACGTATGCAAATTCCTTAGCCATGAGAGAGATTGATTTGATCAGCTCATCCATGGTTGGAAGTATAACAGAAGTAAGTGCTTCTTGAAGCATTAAACCATGGGAGAGATTGTTGATGTCCTCAGAGGTGCAAGCAAAATGGAAAAACTCAAGAACCTGAAATTGATTCATCAAAGAAATTGGATAAAAGAATTGGATCAAGCCTGAAAAAAGCTAAGTAAGAAGAAGGGTTTCAAAACCTTGACAATCTCTGGATGTGATTCACACTTTTGTTTCAAGAAATACTCCACTGCTTTCACATCGTGATTTGTTACTCTCTCGATCTTCTTAACTTCCAACGCATCCTCAATGCTAAACCCATCGATTATGCCTTGCAAGTAGACCTCGGCATCTTTGGTAAAGCTTGGAACTTCCGTGACTTGAGGGATTTTCGAAAGCTTCAGAAGCCATTTGAT